ATGAGCAGTCTTGGAAGCTGGAGCTTGTTGGTTGATGGCTTTAGCTTCCGCCACCCTCGCAGTGCCCTTCGCTCCTTATCAACCGCCCTTTGTATGAGATATTCCCGAACTCTGCCGCCGCCAGGGTCTCCTCCCGCGAACATCACGTCCATATAGTCGGCTAGCCAAATGTCTGCCTCGTCCGCGCCTAGAAATTCTGGGGCCCCGTTCTCCAACATGGTCAACTTGCTCTGACGAGCCTGGGACGCCGTCCCCCTCGGTCGATGGGATACTTCGCCGTGGGATGGTCCTCAAGGCCTTCGTTGGAGGCTGATTGTCCTTTGACCTTCTCTCTAGAACCCTCTTTCTGGAGACCACCCGTTGCCCCCACACTGTAACGGCGGCATTGATCTTCGCTGGGATGGTTCTCGGTTCTCATTTCCGCTGCCTCGCTGGGCTTTGAGCTGCGCCTCTTCACCGAGACCGCCGCCCCCTCCAGGTGACTTCGTGTAAGAACCCGGATCGATCTGCCCTCGGCTCGGTTCATCTGCAGGATTCCTCTCCGAGCACACCCAGCGAGGGTGTACCCGAATTCGAGCGGCGAGGCCAAATGAACCGACTGGCTGCATCGCACGCAAAAGATCAAAGCTATGAGCTCTTCCCTTGAGCAACGCAAAGCAGAGAGCGAGGTTGTCCACCAAGAAAACATGACGTTTGTTGCGCTGCTTGCTTGAACGAGACAGCCTCCTCATAGCTACAGCTAAGACAACACAACGAGCCTCCTTCAATGTTATGTGCTCTTGTAGATGCCTCCATCGGCCCATCATTCGAGTAGTCCACTTGTCCGGGGCAGCCACACCGGGCTCAACCTCAGGAAAGTCAGGGTCGGCAATGTGTGATTCACATTCTGGCGGGGCTTCACCTCCCGACCATGCCGTCCTCACATCCTCGAAGACGCTCCGTCCAAGTGCACGTTGCCTAGGAGCCCATTGTTCAGGAGGGAGACGCTTGAACCTCCAACGTCATTCCACTCCCCTAGGCACCTTGCGGACTTTTTGCCGACGACAGATTCACAGACGCCGTAGCCCTCAGGCGAGGCGTCAGTTGCGGTGAGCACAACTGAATATGGCTGTCGCATGTCAGCTACCACAGTAGGGGTGCAATGCCGATGAACATCTCAACCTCAATCCTCTCCTGCTTGTTGAGGTATCTGGGTCCCCACCACGCTCGATGAAGTCGTAAAGCCTACGAATACACTCATCCCAGCGCGGTTAAGAACACAAATCGTCATGGCATGTCCAAGTAATGGCTGCATCATCTCAACCGGCACCCTGTCCGGAAGCATATACTCGAACGCGAACCTGCACACTTTTGCCATCGATCATTCCCCCCAAAGTTTCCATGCTAGTTGAGGCCTCGGCTTCCTCACTGAGATCAGCACGAACTTGGTCACAACCTCGTTGGCAGTCCTCCTTGCTGTAGCAGAATACGGCATCGCGATACACCCACTTTCCCGAAGTCGCGGTGGCCGTTGCCCATCGATAACCAAGGAGTCCCTGCCAATGCCGGGAGAACTGACTGTGGTTTGCTCGCGCAGTGTCTGCATAAGATAGAAAGGCCAGTTGAAACCCATGGGCAAAACCTTGATGCATGGAACATGGAATGATCTTCTCGAACCCTTCGAACGAAAGCTTCCCGCCAGTCACAAAGGCAGCCTCCTGTAAGTTGAGGTCTGATTTGAGGCAGAAGAAATCCGCAAGACCTGGCGGGCAGTCAACCGCGCAAAAGCAGTCCTTTATGTCGGCACCGGCAACAAATAAGTCCTGCTCGGGCTGTAAGAGAATCTGACCCAACACTGACAAACAACACAGCTCCGTAAGCGGGGGGGCCTTGAACATCAAGTTGGTCTGGCGGAAGTCTAAGACAAGCCATTGCTGCTCATGCACCCCATTGTCAATGACTTTCGGCTTCTTCGACACACAGAAGGCGCCTACTCTTCCACGACAAGTGCTAGTGAATCCCAACACCCCCGCATCGAACAGCCGCCTCACGAAAGCCAGGTAACCCAACTTGCTGGACAACAGACGATCATTATATGGTGGCAGAGCCCATACTTTCTTTGAGAATCCAAGAATCAGCATCCTCCAACATGAAATCCTCGAAGCGGAGCACCATGTTCTTCACAGGCCCCTCCCATTTGTCAGCAAGGCTGACCCCAGCCACTCCACCGGAAGGCAGCGAAAGTTTCTGGAGCTCCATACTGACCACCGTACCCACGCCAGGCTCGGGCTCGCTGTACGACGAGCTGGCGACGCGGAGCGAACTAAGGGCTCCCGCGTAGCATGCACCATCCGGAGGCGGACCAAGCTGCTTGATGCATCTTGTGTTGTTCCTGAGCGCATCCTTTTGCCCGTGGGGCAGGCTGTCCACCTCATGAACAACGTAATCTCGCCATCGCTTGTCCCCTCCGAAAAACATCAAATTCAATGCCCGCTTTGCTTATCCGCCGGTTTTCAGCTTGGTGTACCCGAACACGACCATGCACCGATCTTGAAAGGCCACGCTTTACACACCCCTCAACAGGAAGACACGGAAGAGGAAATATATCACGCCGCCGACCGCTTGAATCGGCTGGTTCATGAAAGATCCTCGTAGCCCTGCCACCTTTACGACCAGAAGCCATGTCCAAATGAAACAAGAGAGGGGCAGCCCTCCCAAAAGTGCAGTCCTGAAAATTAGTGGAGCCGCCGACTGCAAAGTGACCCCACTATATCGAATCTAGCCAGTCTCCGCCGCCGATGACCCCTTCCCGGGGGTCTTTGGCGGCTTGCCTTTGGCCTTGCCCTTCGCCTCCTCGAGCTTGCGCCGCTCCTTGAGAATCTGAGATTCGGCCTGCAGCTTCTTCGCAACATGTTCGGTTAACGCCGGGACGACGATGGCGCCTCCCGGCTTGTACTGGCTTCCAAACCAATAATCGGCGCCTTCGTAATTAGGCGATGACGGACTATATGCGTGCGCCTCAGCAATAAGTTGCTTCCTACGCACCAAAAATTCGAAACATGCCAAGTTCGGGACACCTCCAGGCGAGGCGTTGGGCATAAGAGCTCTCGGCGACCGAGTGCCTTGATCAGGCAGACGCGCCCATTCCCAGCCTCGGCATCGACATGCATGAGCCCATAGTCATTGAGCATGGGTAACCCGGCTGCGATCTCCACAGCTCTCGCATAGCACCAGACTCTATCCGCCCCCGGCTGCAATCCCGCAGCCCCAGGGACGGGAGGGTCAGGCACACCCGGCATCAAAGCCCCCGCACCGGCTGCTTAATGGGGGCGTGCAGGAGCAAGGGGCAAGGGAGCGACACCTCGGCATCCTCGCTCAGCATCGGCCTCCGCCCTGCCGGCTCGCATGTATCCTGCATAATCCCTGGCAGACATGGGAGCAAACCCATAGATACAGGCAATCCGAATGTTCCTCGGGATTCCGCCACCTTGTCCACACACATGAAACCCTGCCACGTCCGGATTGGAGGCATCCAGGGTTTCGCAGTATATGTCAAGGTCCGGGGTGAAGATCACATACTCAAAGGTGCCTGCATCCACCTCGGCCAGCACGAGCCTCGAGTGTACACAATGGGGTCTTTCCCCGTAATCCAGAAGCACGATGTCTCCCACATTCACAGCCATCAACCCAGAATCTGGAGTGGCTTTGAAGGATTATACACCCCCTTGCTCTTGCCCTTCAAGTGGATGGCCACTTCACGCTCCTCGCCCTTATGAACAAATGGCAATTTCACGCTAATGCGAAGCCCGCGGCCTCCAAGATGAGAATCACGCACAGAATGATCAGAGCGAAAACCCACACGTTAATCGCGGAGCTCTCTGTGGCCCTTGGCACAGCACAATGGCAATCACACACACACACAGCGAGGCTGATCCAGACGATCTGGAAAGAGACCTCGCAACACCCAGCCAGCACGGACACCCGCCAGGATATATCCCACGGATGCCGAATGGGGCGCACTACTCACCACCAAAATCTTGAGAGAAAGAGATAAGACGGCAGATACCTTCACAGCACAAGCCGTCAACACGCTACTTAGTAGCACACATTACTATGACAATAACAGCAACATACAGCAACCATAACTGTTACACACAGTTACATGCATGGCATACGTACAGACCTACATCCAGCCGGTTTTCCAGATCGCCCTTTTTGGATTCCATATCCCTCCGCAAAGCATGGCCGTTCGGCAGGTCGTAGCAAATATTGGCGGCGTTGCACACGCACACGCACCCACACACATGCGCGCGCGTGTTCATTCTTCCATCCGCTAATTCATCCATGCAAGCCTACAATCATTCACTTTTTCACGAATAAATACACATGCAAAAATGCACAAATACACCTGCATGTCACTACACACTTGCACAGCATCCGATCCTCTTTTGCAGGTGCAGGCCAAAGCGTCCCTACGCGGTTCCCCCTGCAGAAAGCATACTACTGCTGGGATTTGCGGTTCTCATGGATTTGCAGCATGTGCTTCAGTAAATTGCAACTGATACGCAGCCTTGTTGCTTGCACGGATGTGCTGCCCAGTACTGGATTTTGGGGGTTGTTTGATCTCCGCTGACCCGCCAGACTCGCTCATGCTATCCAAACGAAACCTCACCATGGGTCGCAGAATTTGACACGACGAGTCCTAAACCACTATCGTTCCGGTGCATGCTCAAGGAGTTGTGTTTGAGCTGGTCAGCCGTGCTGCTAGCCGAACTTGCAAAGTATCCTATCTGCAATCCACAAATACGTCTACCCACCCCCATCGAGCTTTACCCATTTCAGGCCTCCAAGTGTCCCTTTCCGGTCATTACGGATCAAATGATGCACTTAGGGTGGAGCTGGGGCCTGCGTTGCATGAAAGAAAGCCGGGGCTGTAGCATTCTAGTCGCATGCACTTAGGAACCTATGAGGCAGGAGTGTGTAGGGTGACTGAAGTGGAAGCTCGAATCTACTCAAGCAGCCTGGCTTCACGCTCACAGACTCGGCAAAGACAGTGGCCAAATACGTCTTTCCAGATCCCGGTGGCCCCTGTAGAAGAAGAGCATGCGCTGTTGCCTTCCGCTGTTGCAAACCGTCTAACAACAAATCGACTCAAGCACGACTGACAGCCCTTCCCAGTTGATTTCTGTGCCTCGCCATGGAGAATACAGCTGGCCAGCTGCAAAACGGAATCAATGGCTGCATCAAAACCGCCAACTCGGAGAAGAAGGCTCCTAGCGCAGCTGGGTTCTTCTTCACATGCACCGTCCACAAATTCAGCACTTGCCTTCGCCAGCTTTGCAAGGCTTCTGACACCGTGCAGGCATCCAAAGCGTCACAAAGTGACGAGGTCTCCATACTCGGCATGCAGACCGGGATCCATGCTTAGTATTCCAGACTTCGGACGCGGGCTGTTTTGAGCCACGCAGCTTTACCGGCTAGGACTCAGCTGCACGATGCATCTACAACTTCTCGACGAGTGCGGCTGCCGGCCTCATGATGCCAAAGAAGTTCGGATGTGCAGAGGCACTTGATACCACCAGCTCTGGGCAGTCCACACTGCACCCCCGTTCTGTGGCAGTTTCTGGCCCGTCTTCACAGTTCTCCAACGGATGCGGGTAATCCTCATCATCGAAGCACGTGACCTGACGCCTGCTGACTCCCAGGCCGCAAGCGCCGGCACCACCCACCGCTTCGCACGCACCCCAGCTGCCAGTGACGAGTCGGTAGTCGGCGGGAGGCGCGAAGAGGCCTGGCGGCGCGGATGAGTGCCGGATAGTGCGGGACTGGGACTGGGAGGTCTGTAAGGCCAGAACCGACTTCGGCCACGTGGACAGGATGCGAATTACCTCCGAAGGTCTCCAAGAAGTTGATGCGCCAAAACCGGAAGTTGCTGTCGCCCTGGAGGTTCCACCTTGCGAATCTCCAGTCCGTGCGCGTGTCAGACATGCACCAGTTTGAACGTTCGAGAGCGGCTACGCTCGGCTACCATAGCAGGGCCTGGCCTGCGCGTCTCTCCAGATGACCAGAAGGCTCCCACACTGAAGGGCGTGCGCAGCTCAAGCCACCCAGCGTTTTCATCATTTCTTGCTTCCAAGGAGATCATGGAGGGCCCTTGCAAAGAAGTGCAAACGGTGCACTCCCCAGACGTCAACGAGAATCCTTCCAGCTCTCTGACCTCGCCAGGAGCTGCACGAAGCAAAGGCAAACAGCACACAGACAGAATCGGTTTCAGCGACTGCTCTAGAGCGGTGCACTTTCCTTGCCCTGGCCCATCCTGGCCCCCGGCTTTACCCAAGTCGAATGACAGCCACTGCGGCGCCGGCCCGGCTGAGGTCCAAGCCTCGCAAAAGCTACGTTCAGTACAGCAAAAAGGACGCGTCGACGCCACAGCCCAAGTCCGCGGGCCGTGAGGCTTGAGCCGTCGATGAGAACCCCACAGCCCAAGTCCGCAGTTGCGGCACTGGCAACAGGTCACGTTCAAGCGATCTTAAGTTTAAGCGATAGGAACGGAATCATCCACATGATTTCCGAAAGCCGCCTTGAAGAGCTGCAACTGGCAGTACAAGCTGCGCCCCCCTGAGAGCAGCCGGGCATTTGTGCATGCCTGCACTATGTTGCAGGCATGTGAGCCTAAACCGAGCCTGGCAAGCACAAATCGAAGTTCCACAGGCCCGTGACCTTGCTGGCGGCTCGCCAGTCGTGCAGCGATTGTCGCTGTAGCTCACTCCGTCTTCTCCTGTTATGTCGGAAAACGTTGCCTAGGCCGATGTCGAATCTGCTTCAGATGTCTTTAGAGACTTGTGCACAGCGTTTCGTTGTGGCAGAACCTTTACACTGAAGCACTGAATGGCAGCCCGAAAGCATGCAGCTCCTCTGCAAACCACCTCAGCTGTAGGAGTAGCCACGTATACGCTGCCTTACAGCTGTGCAGCTGGGCTACTCTGCTATTGCATGACTTTTTGGTCGAGGCGCTGTCCTCTCTTGTGACCCGCCACCGCATGTAGCGGAGCATAGCGTCCAATGAGAAATTTCGAAAGTATAGCCCAGCTTCGGCATCAACTGCAGCTCTGCAACAGCAACTTGTGTACCTTAGCTGTGGAGGATCCGCTTGTCGGAACAAGCAGGAAGAGTCCTAACACTTCAGAAGCTTTCGCTAAGCGTCCGGTGCCTTCCAACATGGTCAGCACATAGCTTCTCCAGGAGCTGTGGCCTACGAACCGCGTGAAGGGAAAGCCTGAGGATGCTCTTTAAGCACGTGGGCTCCCGAGCCTCCCAGATCTCTGATGTGAGTTGTGCCTTCCTGCCACGTCTTGCCCCACGCCTTGGATGTGCACAGCATGCTGGACCCCGCCACGGACTCGTGCACGCGATTTCCAGTCTTCTTGGCAAGATGGCTTCTGACTTCGTCTTGCTCATTGCTCCGGGTTTCCTTTACTGCAGTGCGTTGCAGGCAGGCTGCCTCGTCCAGGATTTGGCGCTGCGTGGAGCCTGGCTCAACCCCTTCCAGGCGCCACGCCGTCGGTGCCAGATCAGGACGCCCAATCACGGCTGTGAGGGCGTAGGAGCCCAGCGTTGCGTAGGTTCCGTCTGCAAAGGGATCAAAGGTCCAAGTAAAGTCAGATTCGAGTTCTGAGATCTGCTGTCTCTGCCTGCTATTCGGGCTTCCAGCCATTGTGGCGCTTGACCATCGGATGCCCTTGGCACCAGCAGGATAGCAGAAGAACACCAAAGCGAAAACGAGCCAAGCTGCAGTTGGTGCTTGGGTAGAATCCGATTCTCGACGCACGATTTCAGATTTCAGACCGCCTGTTCTGAAACACATCTGGTTTGCTGTCGCTTTTTCTAAACCTCGGTTTTCGACACGTCTGCTGCAACCCATTGTTAATTATGAAATCCTCGTCGTGGCCACCCCTTTTGCGGAAAATCTGGTTGAGGCAAGTCGATGCCCTGACTACGTCTGGGGTCTCCTCTGTGCCAGGCTTCTCCTTCTGCCTCGAGCCCAAATTGCTGTTTACTCTGTGCAATCGTGTATTGTTTGATGGCGAGATAGCTGCTAGGTCAATATGTCCCTAATGCAGCAGAGACTCCATGCGGAGGTGACATTCCGGTCAAGCGCGTAGGCACATGCATACTCGTTGCTTGATGCCCTGCACTTCAGAAAGATGCTTGCAGCAAATCCACCACAAGCTCTCAAGCTTCAGAGCTCTCACTGCGGCTTTGTCGGCTCCTGCACGTGAACCCTGCATCGATGCTGAAAGCATAGCATGCACAGCATGCTTCAAAGAAAACAAGGCAGCGAAAGGGGAACGCCATTGCACAGGACGGCACTTCCTTCTACATCGCGACTGACGCAGATATAGCTGGAATCTGGCTGCGTAGTCGACAAGCTCGACTTACAGCAATGCTTGCCTGCGTGTGTGTCCGCCAGATGGCCCCCTACTAGCATCTGCACCATCATGGTCTGCAAATCGAGGCCCTCCTCCATACCTATATGTCTTCGCTGTATACTTATGTTTAACAGTTCAACCACATGCTACAGCAGCTTTACTTGCGATTATCTCAACGTGGCTTCTGTCATCAGTGCACTCGCTTTCACATAGTCGAACTACACCAAGGATTAACCTTGAACAGCACCGGGCGCAAGGGACGCATGCTGAGATCCTGTGCAGTTTGAATGGCAAACTGGCAAACTCCAGAGATCAAGGACTTGCACGATCGCTTTTGGAGATTTGGAACCCATCATGCGATCTCGATGTCGACCACTCTTGCGAGCTTCATTAGCAAACCTGGTAGCGAGACTGTGCTCACACCTGTTTCGCACATGTGCACCAACCCTGCATCACTGAGGCTCCCATTCACATCATGGACTTTCTGCGTCCGAGTCAGTATCAGCCGTCTCCTCGAAACAAGCATGCCCATTGCCCAAGCTCGTCTGGAAAGCGTTGAGTGCACTTGCTTTTCAGCACATGCCTTGGCGAAATCTTGTGCTTCCCCACCGATCCAAAGATCTTTTTCCTCAGCCTCAGTTCTTGCAAATTGAGTTGCTCATTGCTCCACTCCTTTCTGAACTCCGTGAAGAATGAGGCTAGGGCTCCTTCGATGAGCGTTGCAATCAAGGACTCGGCGGCAGGAACTGCCTGTCGTGCAGAGCATGGGCAGAAAAAGCCTCTGCTGAAAAACGACAGCAGCCTTGATGGACTCCCCGTTGAAGGCCTCGCTGCATAGGCGCAGATTTGTAACGGTTCGGCATTTCGCCACTGTTACATTCGTCGATTCATAGTTCAGTTCAACACAGCTCCTATGTTCAAGATTCGTCTGCATTTCGGCGCCATAGCTCATGTCACCGAAGCGATGCATGTCATGCGACAGAAGCAGTAAGTCGTCCTACACAAACCAACATGCAACTAATCTGCAAGCTGGGCTTCTCATGAGACTCGATGAGGAGGATGATATGGATTCATTTTGAGTTATGGGCTCTGGCTTGATCAGTGGGAGCTCGAAACTGACGGAAATACACGTAGTGGCTTTTAAGACCTTTTAGAGCTAGTTTTCCTAAGAGTTCAAGTCAGCTTTGCAGTGGAGAGGAACATGACTCCGAGAAGCCCACGCTACGACTCTTGTCTGCTCCAGTCGTGCAAAGCTGAGGCAGGCTCCCGCGGTCTCAAAAAACCGGATGCGAAGACCTGAACGGCAGGGATCCTCAACAACTGGCAGAATCCAACAGCAGCGGGCCATGCTCCACCTGCATTGTTGCGGTCTTGCTGGATCTGCTCCATTAGGGCCAGAGTGTCAGTACGATGCGTCAGGACTTCCAAAGGTCTTGGACCCGACTGCTACTCGGTTGCGAGTCTAGAACCTCCTGCTCTAGTTTGAGCACTTCAAGTAGCATCGATGCAACACGTGTCAACGACCGTCTCCTATCTCATGACCGGCCTTTGCAGCAGTGGTGGGCGTCAGCATGACCTGAGCTTCCCCTTTGACTCCCTGATGCGGTTTGGCCACTATCATGATTTCACATCCTGAGACGTGAGTTTCTCACTACAAGTAGCTAGTGGTTGGGCCTGCGAAGGTGCGCGTGGTTCTCACAGTGCCCCGGAGCAAACCGTAAAGGAAGGGCATTGAAGACACCTAGGATTTAGGACGGCTTGGGGATGCTTCGAATCCATTCCTAGTTCCTAGGTCCACTCTGATACCAACTCCACATCCAAGCGTGCATCCCGATATTCGCAGAATCCGAACGGTTACGCCTTCACTCTTCCCATAACAGCCTTGTCGGTCCGCTTCAACCACTAAGGGTTTATTCAAAGGATTGTCGAGATCTACACGGCACTAACACCGTCACACGGCCGCGGCGCGGTTATCATGTCTCTACGCAGGCAGAACACAATCCGAACCACCAAACCTAATCACGTGATTCCAGGCCCCTCGCTGCCTGAGCGTATTCAACAAAGGTGTGAAGGCTGTGTCACAACCGTCGCAAGAAAAGAGTTTGAGCCGTTGACCGGCGCAGATGCAGGGGCCTGGCAAGTGCGAGGCGCGAGAAGCCACTGCGTGCCGCCGCAGTGCCACGCTCAAACGCTTAGTCCCTGGCCGAGCTGCCTGCAGCCTTGCCACCCTGAAGTCTGGATGCAGATTTGCGCAGTCCCTCAAGCTCCCTTCCTCATGTCGTCATGCTGTCTCTAAGAAGCGGGCCCAGCGATCTTGCCTTCAAGCTCTTGAAATTAAACGCTGTGCGCCAACTTTCGCTGCAAACCAAAGAAGTGTAGACGGGAAGCTTGGCCCGAGACGCCACATTACACATGGTGTGAAGGAATGAGCTAATGTAGAGCGCAACATACGCCTGCCATGTCCATGTCAGAACGGGGCAGTGCAGCACAGTGTCGAAAATTGAAATCGAGGCAGCTGGACAACTTCTTCAGGAAGCTTCTCATGAAAGATCTCAATCTTGGTGCAGCTCTGGACGGTTTAATGTGTATGGCGGGTACATGTCGGAGCATGCGCAAGCAGTGCCAACATGTCTTGACCCCATCTGATTGACCCCATCTGAATTGTGGCTGTCACCGGTCTTCCCTACGACTGCTCATCTACGACTGCTCATCTAAGTTGCAGAAGCGGAACTCTAAACAGCCAATGCTCTTGACACTGCCTTGAGGCTCAAGAAGGCATAATTCCAGGTTTGAAGCACAGCCCCAAATTGCTCGGTGCCAGGCTAAGTACTCCCGTTGCCTCTGGATGTTGCCAGGCCTGGAAAAATTGTCGGAAAATGAAGTCTCAGGCCTTTGTTTTTCGGTCTGAGGATGCTGCTGAATCTCCCTGCTTTGCAGGAGGTTCATAGCCTCGCACTGCACAGCAGCCGAAGCACAGCCACGCTGCAGCTACATGCAAAAGGACCAGAGCTTCCGCGTGGCCTCGAAGGATAGGAGTGGAGAAGGCAAGCAATCCAACCAGACCTTCAGGCAACACCTGCCGGCACCCACCACAGTTGCAATGCCACTCGGCCCTAACTGAGGCCCCTTGGTGTTTCGGCCAGGCTTCAACAGGTTTGCGCTTCCACGCGCTTCCACTCTGCAAGTTCCCCAGCTGCCCGTCGCTTGCTCCCTCTCTCTGTCTCGGGAGAGACGGTAACGTTCCTGCTGACAGCGGGACACCGGGACCCCATGGCTGCTCAAGCCTGGGGAATGCTCACAAACCTCTGCGGCAATGGTGCTTGCACGCGGCCAGGAGCAGACTAGGTCTCGACCTGCCTCTCTCCGTCTCTCTCCCTCTCCCTGCCGCTCCGCTTCTGGTCTTCTTCTCCCTGGCTTTGGCCCGCGGTGGCAAACCCCCTTGCCCCCCCACCCCCCTCCTCATCACCCCCTCCCCCCTGGGACGCTGCGACGACAGCCGCAGAGATCGACGCGATCCTCGTGACGGTCGGCGTTTTCGAAAGATGGGATCGTCGCTGCGATGAATAACTGCCAACAGTCACCGGGAGTCGGCCAGTTGGATCCTGGCGTGACCGTTGTCGTGACTTTCGGGAGTTTTCGTCCTGCGGGGCAACGGGCAACGTTCGTGGCAGTAGCTGGCATGTGGTCCTGATCTGATCTTTGTTTTTGTGTGGGGGCCGGATGCGGAGGGTTCGCATCTACCGTCTGACAGCCAGTGCTGCGGGAAGAACCGCACCAGAGCCAAGGCTGGTCTTACGGGGGCCTGGCTCCATGTGCCACAGGGCGCAGAAGGCGAAGAGGGGTGGGGGCTGCGGCTCAGGCCCTGAATCACACATGGTGCCCCTGCGGCGAAACAGAAACTGGCTGCTCATGTGCCAACAGGCCGATGCCGGCAAGATCCAGCGTGGCCAGGAAAGGCGGAGCGGACGGATTTTTCTCCGCGAATCCTAGGGCCTAGGCCTTCTAAACCCGAGAATCCAGTGGCTAGCAGAAACATATCCGCAGAGGCTGTTCCTGTCAGATGGACCCGTGGCTTATCCTGGAACCCCCCGGTTTTTTTCTTCGCACGTGCCAGGGGAGTGGCCCTGCGCGCTCTCAGTACCCACCTCCCTGGTTGGTTAGTTCGCCAGCGGCGCGAGCGGCGGCGCGAGCGTTGGTGGGCCGTGGCAGCACTGCTCTTCCTGGGGTCCGGGCCAGAGAAGAGCAGGGTCCAAGTCACGCGGCAATGGATTCCCATAGTCGATCGTATTCAACTGAGTTCTGCTTGAACGAACGCTGCGTAGACCGTGCAAATTGCCGAGCTTCATGCCAAAGGAAACACGGCATCAGGATCCACTTCTTAGGCGCCAACGTGTACAGTCAAGAGCACCAGCCCTTCATCAAGACCGCCGAGCCGAGGCCAGTGCCGAAGAGCTTTCCAAACTCCTCGTCGGCGGCCTCCCTCTCGAGGGCCTCACGCAGCTATGGGGACGCAACATGCCGCGCCGTGCCGTGCACTGCCGCTTCCGGCTTCCCCCAAAGCCAATGCCGCTGCCTCACAGAGGAAGATCACCGCTGGTGGCAGCTTTGGATACCAGCCTTGCTTTTTCACGTCGCAACCACAGAAACAACATCGCCCAAGCTACACCCTGCGGCAAGCTTGGGACGTCCCGTGGTCTTGTCCGTGAAATCAACACCGAAGGTGTTGCAAATAGCCCTGGCTGGCATGGCTTGCACTTGTTGAATCCTCACCTCTCGATACCTCTTGCAAACCGTTAAACTGGAGACACAACCGTCGCAAGCTCCCAGAAAGCCCACTTTTGTCTGTCGTCTCACGCTGACGTCGCTTTGAAGCGTTTGGCCTCTCAGGTTGAAGCCAGAGGAGGAACAGAAAGAACGAGAGAGAGAGAGAGAGAGAGAGAGAGAGAGAGAGAGAGAGAGAGAGAGAAGGAGAGAGCGTGTGACAGCGCTGTGCTCGTGTAGGACTGCCAGATACTGCCACACGTTTGTTGAGCCTTCTTCATCTGCTTGACGGTTTCCAAGTCCTTCCGATTTCGTTTGCGATGGTCGATCAGCTCGTCACGCCGCTTCTCTCGAAGCTGGAAGCGATAGAAATCCGGCATCTCTTTCGATTTCTTTGACTTCATCTTCTTTCCCGTAGGCGCAGCCGTTTGTTCAGTGCTTTCACCGAATGCACCTGTTTTCAGAGATGGGCGACGGGCCCCGCGGATGGTTAGACCGTCCGGAGTTCTCGTAATGCCAGAAACTACCTTGGTGAAGCCATCATCGTCAACCTGCGTCTCTTTGGCAAGACGCTTCTTCTCATCTTCTCGCTCGTCGTACTGTGCCATCCAATCGTCAATCTCCTGTCTGAGCCGCACAGGATCCTTGGATTGCATGCGTATGCAAGGCTCAAGAAACTTCATACCAAAAATGTCGAAGCAGCCATCAGCCCAGGTTCGGGATACAGCGCCTTCCTTGATCGAAGTCGCTCTTTAAGTATTGATGGAGGTGGCGGTAAAACAGTGTGTGCCGAGATGAGCCCTGTTGCAGCATCCAGCGCCTTCCGCAAAACATGCGCCTCGGAATGAGCAAGGGGTTCTACAGCGAGGCTTTGAGCTGCTAGACCAACACCCCTGCCCCACACGATGCGCAATACACGCATGCACAGATGCGCAAATACTTTGTTCCAATTGCCGGAGGCCACACGAGTTGAGAGCAAAATCCTTCGACAGCTCGCCTCCTTGAAGACCACACGAGCAAAGACAACATGCAGGCGCACATGGTCCGCCCGCTGCTCGGCCTGCACGTGCAGCAAGACAGGATTTCATTGAGATTCGGGGGCTGCTGGAGCTGCACGGGTCCTTCGGCGCACGTTTCTCCACGCACTTCAGCTCAACCTTCCTGTCGGTGGCAGGGGCAAACGGTAAACTGTTGTATGCCACTGTGTTCAGGCTGTGCCAAGTGGCTCTACTGGCCCGAAGGAGGAGAAGCACTGCCGAATCTGCGACTCCGTGGTGAAAGCATCCAAGTGGGTAGCGAAGAGTGTTCTGGGAGCACTCTCCTGGCAAAGCAGCTTAGCGATTTGCACTTTTGAGCGCCAGAATGCAATCCTTTTCTGCAGGATCTCTTGCGTCGTGCTTCTTGACTAGGAGGGTCCTGCCAACCACTTGCACATCAGGGACATCCCGAAGAACTTGTAAGGACCTTTAGGGACATGTTCTACGGCTACGACTTTCCAACTCCAACCAAACTAAGTTGTTCAATGTGCATCACTACGGTCCTTGTAATAGGCGAGCCTGGCGACATTGGCACCCGAAGGAGCTTGTACCCACGAACGAGCTCTGAGCTGGGAGATGTTGAAGCATCTGCGTTCTTCCGGACCATGGCCGCCAAGACTTAAGAGGGACTTTTGAGGCCTGGGTCCCAGGCACGCAAGGGAACCCAGAGTCGGTCCAGATCATCGCTTATAAAGGCTTTTTCGACGGAACTTTCTGTCTCAGCATGTCTCTGCTTGCACTCATGCAAAGGGTGCAGTCTCTTACTGTCTTCGCTACTTTGAGGTTTGCAGTTTGTAAAAGCTTCTGATGCGACACGGCAGCTGAAGAACTGCATCAGAATGCCTTCACCCAAAACCCTTCCAAAGCTGAGGCAACATGATGAAGCTTCGACGCACAAGCGCCTGATCGGGACGCCAAAGTTGACGGGCGGGTCATCCCCGTTGCGCAGAGCATCTTGGCGCTGGATGACCTTTCTACGCTGGCACAGCAAAACCAGCCATCGCTTGGATAGTCGAATGCACTTGCCTGAGGGAAGCGTCGCCGAAGTTCTACTTGAGAAGACTCATCGTTTGGATGCAAGTCCTGGTACAAATGGAACCTTCCGTGATCCAAACGAAACGACATGTCAGATCTCTCCTTTTGAAGCGGCTACACTGCAGCAATGCTTGGTGTTCCAGCGTTTCCTCTCGAATTCGAATGTCTTGTCATGTCAATGTGCTGTTGAACTGCTGTTGTTCTCATGGTATTCCATCAGCAACGTTTCTTCCATCGAGTTTGTGAAAAATCAACTTGGGTAGGTTGCACAACTGTCATACCGATGCAGTGCTCTGCCCGTGCTTGTCTACACCGTGTCGCTCTCTAGACCATGAAGCTGGTGCCCTCCTCGCAGATCGTCTCGATGCTGTTGACGAATTGGATCTTATCCCAGAACTGCGGTGTCAGCCAAGCCTTGTCCATTCACAGTCCAAAGAATCCGCAGCGGCCAAGCGGACTTGGAGGCGCGCGTAAAACGACCACATCGTCACGTGCGTCCTGCATGCGAGAAGCAAGTGTTCGATCGTATTTTGTGGAAGAGGCTCAAACTCCGCCAGCTTGGCGAGCTTGTGGCGTGCAATACGTAAAAGCCTCGGATCCAGCACCACAATGCACCACAACGACAACAACGAACGACGGAAACGTAGATCTGCTAAGAAGCGCTTCAAGTTCTTGGTGTACTTTCTGGGCCTCAGATCGCAACACGCAGCAGAAGAAACGTAACGCACTGCTGCAGGCGGATTGGGGCAGCCGACAGGATCTCAAAGGCTATCCGCAAGCGCTCCGCTAGCAGCGGTGCAGACCAGTCCTGAAAGCGGGGGGGGGGCACTTCATTCTGCGCTCTGCTCGCCTCTGCTCGATCAGCAGAGCGCCACTTAGGTCGGCACCATGCCCAGGCAGCAATAGACAAAGACATACTTCTTCTGCATCGCCATTTCATCCATGTGCCTGAATCTCCGCATGTCAGCAAACGGAACATGCAGCATATGCAGCATAGGCATTCCGAGTATTTGGCAACAGAAGGAAGTGGAAAGCACGGTCGAGCTCGTCAGCATCGTTAAGAATCGGTCTGAGGTGCGACAGATGCTCAAGCAGCGAAGTTGAGGCAGACCAGTTCTGAGCTGTCAGGCTGTAAAAACCCTGGAGTGAAGAGAACGATTCTTTGGCCCTCCTAAGCTGTGGCAGCGTGCAATCCTCCAGGTCCGACCCCTGCCGTTGAGATGGCGGCAGCAGTCGCTCCGCAGTCAACAAGAAGTTGCGCGTCCCACCTCAACAAGGCCAGAACTGCCGCTGGGCGACGAGCAAAATGAAACCCCATGGTTTAAGGCTGCCACTCCTCGGGAAAGCTACCTGCCACTCTAGGCGGCTGCAAGGGGTCCCGTGAAACAAAATTGCAGACAGTGGTCCAAGATCAAGACAAAACGGTATATCACCTACCATGGCATCGTGGCATCGCCATCTGCGAAAACGTCATGCGAATCCTCCTCGGCCTTCTAGGTCCTTCTGTTCAGTCCCTCCTCCTCGGTCTCCTCCTCACTCCCATCGATGTCCACCATCACCAGCAGCTGCATCATGATCAGCGACATCAAACCCGAGCCAACAGCTGCAGCAAGATCATGCAAGATCAACATCTCATCTTAAAAAGCTGCTTCTGTGCTGCTGCCACCACTTCGCCGAAAGACCATAGCAGCCGGAGCCAGAGAGAACCGGTGTGGCGATGGCTTGTGGCGATTTCTATTGCGCTACAGAAGTCGAAGCCAATGTGCCCATTGTCTTCTGGCTGACCGATAACACTGAAGTTGCTACGTCTTGGGCACTTCATCACCTGCCACACACATCTTCGCTACTGCCTGGGGTTCGTCATCACATTTTCGCTGCCCAGTAGCTTTTGCAGCAAGCTTGGCATTGGAAACGGGTGCTCGAAAGAACGGTCGCCTCGAGCAGCTCCGAATCCGATGCAGCGCTTGGCCTCTTCGATGATTCGACGGTAGGGCTCGGAGACCTCCTTCCCAACAGGTCAATTCCCCATTGACACTCGCAGTACGGTGCTGAGATCCCAGCAACGTCTTCCCTGGCGGCCGCAAAAGTTTGTGAAAACTACTACAGATACACGTGAGCAGATCATGACAAATTACGGCGAAAGGCGTGTGCAAGCACAGTGGCTCCCGCTCAAATCAAAACAAGACGGCGAGACTGCCCGGCATCCCATCTGACTTGCTCCAAGTCAGCCTATCCAATGCATGTAGGCCAAGACATGCTGCTTTGCGCCGGAGTGCACGCTTGCCTCCGAAATGATACTGGTCCTGCAGTTATAGCGCACGGAGCGGGTATTTTGCACTGGCCACAACAGCACATTAGCAAAGATGAACACAAGCTAAACCACACAACCACACATGCATGGCTGACCTTCGTCTGTGTCGTGCATGCCACAAAGCATATGTTCCACAGGCACATCACAAGGGGGTAGCATGCAGAGTTCTGGGTCTTCTCTGGGTGGAACATGGATGGGACGCGGTCGGACAACCCGCAGGAAGGTCCCCCAGCTGCAGGTTCTCAGAACCATCGAGGTCTCAAGCTGGGAACACTGATGAAGAGCACGCCAAAGATGGAAGCAAATCACTGTAGGTAGCTTGGCTTCCATGCGGGCGGGACCTGAACCACCGCTTGAATGATGACATCTTGTGACAGTGAAGGGTTTCTTAGAAGAGGACTCGCTTCAGTTGCGGGACATGCAGCATGCGATAAATGAAATGATGACCAAATATTTGTAACAACTTCGGAAACCATCAGGATCCATTCAGAAAGCCTGGCCAAAAACGCTAGCTAACGTCTAGACCATCCAGTACCGGCAGTGTGGCGGATGAGGTGCTTCTGGGCTCTTTCCCGGCGCCGGATCCTGTCTCATTTTGCAATACATGAGCAGAAACAACCGGGGCCGAACACAGCTAAGTCCGGACGTGCGAGAGGGAACGAGGACGAAAAACGCAAGCTGGAAGTGGCGCACAAGCCACTCTCATGAGCAGGCAGCCTCACTAGCATGCACTTTTTTCCCTACGCCTACGCCACGACAAGCTCTTGACTGCTCGAGCCTGATAAAGACACATGTGAACTTACACCAGTCAAAATGCGGTTTTCTTCGGTGAAAACCTACGTTGCGGCAAATTGTTGCAGCGCCTGCATTTTCATGGCATTTCTTGGGACTGCCTTTTGGGTTATGCGTTCAAGCAAGCCCTGAGGAGTCTGTTCGACGAGTGCATGGCTTCATGCCCCGGCCGGCTTGGTGGGCTATATGGTGGGCTGATGTTTGGGACTGTGAGGCCTGTGCCCAACAACCCGAGCACGATGGGTTCCAGGACGACACCGCCTACTACCAGAATGCCCCTGGTTCCGCTGGGACGGGTGGACCATGGTAAGAAGAGTGGAAAGCCAAAAGGAGAAGTGGAACTCCGCCCTTCAAAATCAAGCCTGGAAAGAAGGATGTTTCTCTGCGAGATGTACTCCATCACCCCAGCTGAGGTCCAGGATGACCCCGACGAGGAGCCGCCTTTCACTCTCGCCGCCTTCGGGTGACGTTCAGAACAAGAAGCATCTCCGTGACGACGGATGGACTGTGACGTTTGTGTTGTCGGTAGACGACACACAGAAAGCACATTCTGCTTCAGGCCGTGGCTTGCGCCTTTGAGGTCTCCCTCGAAGACTTGCCGATCTTTAAGGCCCTCTGTCGTTCCACTTGCTGGGCGAGACGAGGGACCAGGAGACCCCCAAGGCCCAGAACATTCTGCTGTTGCTAGCTGCTGGTGGCCGGTCCCTTCGAGCACCGCAGCCAACTCTGAGTTACGAGGATAACATGATTTCTTTTGTCAGGGAGTATGGCACACATGCCCTTCAGGCACAGCCGGATCAACCAGAAGAGGAAGAAGACGAATGAGGCCCGCCCCAATGCCACAGCCAAACGAAAATGATTCTTCGAGCCCCTTGGACCTTCCCAGGTGAGCTCCTGGTACCATGTAAATGCACAAGCCACGCTCATAAGCAGGCACACTAGACTAGCCCACACTTTTCCAGTCGCCATGACAGGCTCTTGACTGCTCGAGCCCTCCAGAAGCTCAACTTTGGATACAAGACACGAGTGAACTTACACATGCCATGCGAGACTGTTTTTGACTTGGTTATTTGTTTTCTCCTTATTTTTTCTGATTTGCAGAAATCTGCCACAATTCCGTACTCATTCTGTTCTGCATGGGCTTTCCAAGACGTAGTCTAGTGTCTCGTTTTTGGCATGTGGTCGGGAAACTGTCGGGAACTATTAGCGAATCGTGGGTTGATTTCCGAGCCTGGCGGACTGCACCGAACCTGGATTTAGAGCCGATCTTCCGTGGATCTGACCCCTAGATTAGCTTGCCTGGGCACTTACACCACTGGTTCCAAACAGCCGAGCCCTAACTTACCACGAATGGCACTAATTAATTCCTTGTCATCCGGATAATCTTACTCCTCCAGCTCTGTGGGGCACTTGAAGAGGCCCCCTGGTGAAGAAATCCCTCAAGGAAACACTTGACTACAATATCTTCAAAGCACCGACGAAGGAAGCTAGCATCAAGTGCCCAAGTCATGGGCAGGCATGATAAGCAAGTTGGACCAAGAAGCAGGTACGAGCACCAGGGACTGTTGCAACAGTGAAAGATGATTGGAAAAAACGGATTTGGTTGAACACATAGGCTACTTCAAGTTTCCGAGTTGCAATGCAGAAATTAAATGACGGGTTGTGCAATGCTCACCATGTTTGCAAAGCTTGAAACATCAAGCAGCCGGCTAACGCTACCACTTGGGCTGAAGATAGTTCCTCCTCTCCAAACGGATACTTTGGCGGACCTGGTCAGCCAGATGAGAGAACAGACAGCTCCACACAATTCAGACTTCAGGCTACTGCCCAGTGGCAGTCCAGATAGACGTGGCATCCGAGTTCGAGGCTCGGCTCTTTTCTTGGCTCGTACGCTCAGGGCCTCTGTTTCTAAGCGGCTTGGGTCGTAAACCTGAGTTTTTCCAACTCTGTGGGCGCGGAGGCTGCGCGAGCGAGCTTCTGTTCTAAGAACCAAGCTCCAGCAAAACCTGAATGAGGCACTGCTTTGCGGTTGACAGCAGTGAAAGCATATGAAAGTCTGGCCAATTGGTGACACTCTGAAGGTCTTAGTCCTGTCCGATGAGCTGCTTGTGAGTTTGCTGTTGTGGAACATGCGTTTCGAGTGTGAGGCACAGGGCATCCAAGAGCCGCACATGGATGACCAATGAGTTCTGGAAGCTGCAACAGGCAAACCATCGGAGGGTGCAGCTGAATCTATTTGATCTGAGATAGCAAGTACGACAGAGTGAGGACATGAGTAAGCACAAGACAGTTCATGACACCTACAAATCTGACTAGTTGTGGGAACGACAATTGTGAAGACCTGCCTGGCAGGTGCCAATGTTTCTGAATATGCACATCGGACACCATGTACCGTGATTTCTGGAATCGAGTTGAGCCATGCGCGGTTATCAAGCTCCTCCCAGATCAGGCTACAGCAAAACAACCGATGCTGACATTCGCTCGAGAGAGTTCGCTCCCATTTTGCATCTGCTAGCATCTGCCAACTTTCCTGGAGTCTTTTGAGAGGCGCGTGCCAGTTGGCATGCCACCTTATTGGTCTTCGAATCATGGCAAGAACGATTGCTGTTCATAATTGACCCGGTTCAATCCGAGGCCAAGCCACTTGCGCTTCGCCCAAGGTGCACAGCGAAATGCTTACTCCCAAGCGAACTTTCCATTCTCCTCTCAGGAAGGTCGGATGAGCTTCATGACTCATGAAGCCCTTGAACTACTGAGATACTAATGAGTGGGACCAGCTCAGCAGCGTCTTTTTCCCATGCTCACGGTAACTTGGAGTAGATCGGCTCAGAAAAAGCATCTGACCTGCAGAATGCGGTTGGATCAAAACGAATGCTGTCAAACCTTGACCCCGATGTGAGGCGAATCTTCTCATTTCGATACCTCTCGTTCAGGCGGCTATACGCCCGAGCTCCTGTACTGTCACGTCTGTAATGTGCTGCAGTTTCGTGCTTCATTCCCTGTGCTCCCGGCAGTTCACACGGTGAGCGTGCAAATTCCGGAGAACACCCGAAATTTCTTGATGTGGAGTGGCCCAAATGTCCTTCTCGAAAGGTGCTCGAAGTGGCTTGTACCTAGTGCCTTGGAGAAAACTTTTCGGTGGTTCAACCGCAGGATCAACAGAAGAGCGTACACAAGCACAACTTTGAAGTCATGCTGCAAGCTGTCGCCCATGTGATTGAGGGTTGCGTTCAGAATCGGTGTTCGGCTACTTCGACTTTTCATTGCTTCTCGCTGCTGCTTTAGTCCAACTGCAGTCCCCAATCCTATGCTGCAGTGGTGTGTTACAGAGAACTGCGCAACTAACGGCAGACGAAGAAGTTGTGAATAATCCACACTGCATTGAGAACTTGTAAGCAACTGGTTCTATTAAACTGTAGCATGCCGGGATGCCTCTTCTGCAAGATGCTGACAGAGTTCTGAAACTTCTTGTGGGGCCTGGATGCAGAGCAACATAGATAAACATGGAGCAGCATGCAAGTCCACACAGTCTGTACGCCTCTTCAAACTCCAGCGAGTCGGCAACTACGTTGCAGCAAGGATACTCCAGCAGACTCAGCAAAGCTCCCGGTGTGCCCTGAGACGACTTGGATACCTGAGGGAGTGGATTTCAGGTGCTACACAACCCTGTCCAAGACAAGCATTATGATGGGTAATCAGAACAGCGCCGCATCGATCCATTCCCGCACCGCGCTGTTCGTCAAAGTGCTGTGGAGCCTTGGATGACTCTATATGACTGTCCAGCGAGAGTATGCTGAGACGCTTTAGCTCTCCTCCTGCTCCGTCGCTCTCTTTGGTTTCTTACGGATCCGTACCCCGGACTTTTGCACATTAGATAGCGTGAAAAGCATAGGAGTACCTTGTTGCTGACTGATGGCTGCCCTTGATGCCGGGCAACCTGCCTTATCCCCATTTGTCAAGGACAGCCCTCGGCGGAAAACCTGCCCGGGTCTATCTCTTATTGCCGTCCGGTCTTGCTGTGCTTGTCGTGACTTGCTCCTCGTCGCATGCAGCAACTCTTGATCCAGCCTGCGCTTGTGGGGATTTCTGGCAAACATGTGCGCCTGTGCACCCACGGCCACGGCCACAGCTGTGAACGCTCGTTTGCAACTTACATGCCTATACAACACGGAACCGTCTGGCTGGCTTGCTGTCCTCCGTCGCTATTTCACCTCGACACTAGCTAGACTCGCAGGAAAAACACAACAAAATTGTCCTGTCTCAACAGTGTGTCGCCGCAGGTGAGAAGCCCGATATGTCTTGTGCGTTTTGCATCCCGCATCCTCCTGCTGCCCTTTCTCCGTGCTTTTACTTGCTGTCGGCGGGAAGGACTCAGCCGCAGACCAGCGAAACTTATTGCCGAGATTACTCATGCGATAGGGGCCATCAGGAATCCGAGGCACCATGTCTAGACCCTGGGCAGAATTTGCTTCGTGTCATGGCATCACGGCAGGACAAAGGATCAAAATGTTATCGTCGCATTCCTGTGTAGTGTGTTCGGAGTATGTATCTGAGTGCTGCAGGTGACAAAACGTAGCCTCCGGGAAGCACCTGAGGCCAAAGAAGTGCCAGGAAACTTTCGATGCCATCCTGCACAGATCTGCACATAGCAGGGAAGCACAAATCTCTCGACTTCGGCCACTGCTGTGCCTTCACACTTCCATTCACCGGCGGTGCAAAGTCTAGGAGGCCATCCTGCGGTTGTACAAGGCCAGGTGTGTTGCCGTCACCATTCACCCTTCTCCGCGATCCAGCCAGATAAAGTCAAAGAGGAGGTGATTCGATTCTTCGAGGAAGGCCCTGGCATCATCCAGATGGAGCCTTTCACAGCATCTTGGCTCAGAGTATTGGTGTCCAAAAAGGCTGCATGCTCTCCATGGCCACAGAAACTTCCAAGCCTCAAGCGGCGCTGCAGCCCCAAACCTCATGGCAAGCAAGCTGGAAGCTGCCAACATTCAGGGGTCGACCGCAATTCAGCGGCAGAGAGGCTTCTGCAGGACTGCGGGCACGTCATGTGTCAAGTCTTTGGCACTTCAGTACAGTTCGGTAGACTCTGGATGTCGAAGCGCGGCCGCTGACTGGACTTCCCTCTCATGTCGAACAGCATGTATGCACGCTGTCGTACTACAGACTTCCGGAGTCCTCTGCGTCATCCTTCCTACGTCCCGGATCCTGTTGAACCCAGCATTCATTTGCGACTGACTTCCAAGTAGATGCACACTCATGCTAAGATGTCTCCCGCGCCCCTCTTCAAATCTGAAATCATATTGCAAACTCGCGAAGTCAAAGCCGGCACCGCAGATATCTAGCCATCGTGCTTCCCTGTCCAATGGTTGATGTTGAGACGAATCGCCGTTCTCGCAACGTGCAGAGTTCAAGAGGAGGGGGAGTGCGACACCTACAGACTCCTCACTTGCAAGGCAAGCGTGCCGCGTTTCGGAGCTCCTGGCGACGTAGTCCTTTCGGTTTCGCTAGACGCGGCCACAGTTGACCTACCCAAATAAGCCCTTATGCTCCTCTCCAGTTCACATCCTCAGCTTCAACTTCTTGCTCGTCCGGGGGGGTGGGTGGGGGAGGGATGAAAGCAAACATGCTGACGCACTTCTTGTACCTTATCTAAGTCATGCTGCTTTAGCAGTCAGGCGTTTTCGTGTGCTTGTTGTCTGGGAGTGCGGGCTGCTGACAAGCAACGTCACGTACCTCTTGTTCCCAAGCATTGGCAGACGATGTGGATGCTTCCCAGACAGCGTAGACTCAGTGCAGCAATTCCTTTCGGGTCTGTTGTCCAGGTGACCATTTGTTTGATAAGAAAGACAGATAGCACTCTGTCCTTCGACAGGAGATGCCTTGCAACTGCCGCACAGTGGCAAAGTAGTCATGACGTGGCAACAGATGCAAGAAGTCATGCTTAGCATCCATACTGCGAGTTTCGGCCCCTGACGGCGAGGTTAAAGTCGACCCCGCCTGGTAGAGTTTTTGTATCGGCTCGCTTCGTGCTGGCATCATGAAGGCAACTTCCAGTGTTTGAAGCAGAAAGTCGGAGCCTCCTGCAAACTCAAGGCCGAAAAAATGCCCGGCCTGAGTTTACCTGTCAATGAATACTGGCATGCAGAGCGAAATCAGTAGTGCAGCAACGGCCGCGACAGGCAGTAAACCAATGCAACCGGTAGAATTTGGCAGATAAGCTGGTCGAGGCAAAGCATCTTCAAGATCACACTGGTGTTTCTCCTTCAAGGCTTTGAGCTGCGCAGAGGATATTATCCCCGGACATCGAGGAGGGTACCATGACAAAGACAGATTTCGATTTTCCGATGCCCGGCCGAGTTTCTCGTTGTCACGGGATGAGACTGGACCGTTTGCTTTTCGATGTCGTAAACAACTTGTTCGATGCCATGCGTGCAGCCCCCCGTGCAGCGAGAGTTTCATGGGCTTCCCACCATGAAACCTTTGCATCATGAGCTTCTGAGACAGCAAGAAACTGACCGGCTGGCTGAACAAAGCCTCGAGACACCCGCAAAGATGCTCACAGACAGCCAGCTCTTGTCCGAAATGTTGCCTGCAGGTCAAGGCGGTACCCAGCACGCCAAGCCGATACTAAGTTTCGGAGAAGCAGGTGGAGCTCGGCAGAGCCGACGCCAGGAAGGGAGAGACCAGGGCACCCTTGCAACATCGCCACGCTGAGAGGCAGCAAAGCTAGTAGAGCGCGGGGTAGCAAAATCGTGACTTGGGCTGCATTGGCATCTCCTTTTAGCTCTGGCAAGCGATCGCAGTTCGCGGCAGAAGCTTGCTTTCAGACGTGAGCCGGAATTCAGCCCGAACTCACATTCTGAAATTCACCACCATCCAGACTCAACAATCAACCTGCTAAAGCTCACGTAAGTAAGCATGAGAGCCCGACGCTGTGCAACGCGGAGAAGCTCCGGTGCGGTGGTGTGTTTGTGGGCGAAGTTGTCGACACAATGCAAAACGCCGCCTAGCTTCAGCACTCCAATCTTGCATGAGAAATAGAGAACAGGACTGCAGGTTATTATAGAGATTCCGAGAGCTGCCTTCCAAATCTGCAACTTCTCCCGCCCCTCCTGCGGCACTCTGCTGCACGGCCGGCATGGCATCCACATCACGCTCCGAGCCCACTGAACGGCAGTAGTTCGATCCAAGCTGCCTACGAGCCAGCTCTCGGGGGCAGGCCCGGAAGTCTTTGGTGAAGTTCGCCAGGACTCCCAGAACTGCATCTCCCGCCAATTGTCCTCCAATGTGGTTAGAGTTCTGTTGGGGGATGAACGAGTGCTGCCATGGCTTCCTCCAAAGCCTGGAGCAGGAAGGCCGACGTGTAGCCTGCAGTGTGCATAGGACCCGCTTGTGATCGCTTGTGTTCTCGGCAGCACCCACCCAACAAGTGGAAGGCATTTTCCTGCTAAATATCGAGTCTCCAGAGCATGCGCAAGTAGGTGAGAGATACAGAGAGGACAGAAGGAGCCAAACGCGAAAGCCAGAGACATATCAGATAGCGCTGTTCGAGTCCCGTCCGCCTGCTCCAATTTCCAGACAACTGCGCGGCTTGACGAAGCGTGCCAAACTGTGAAGGAGAGGCCCCATGTTCTCGCAGCCTCAAGCCGACCGTAACTTGTGAAGCAGTGCTCATTGAAATCCGTGCCGTCGTACTCAGGGCTGCGCCCATATGCATGGAGTATAGCGGCATCACAGCTTCTTGCCATTCAGCATTCGCGGTGCCCGAAAGTATCACTTCAGCCGCGGCCTCCTCAGACTCTGGCGTATCTCGCATGCGAAAAACTTGACCGCCAAATCTGCGATGGCAGCTGATGTAGCGGCATTCTGAAGAAAGGCCCAACATGCCGTCCAGGACAACAAGATACACCGGAAGTGGTGAGAACATCAAAACAATGTACAACAGTTGAATGTGCCGAAAGACAAGCACAGAGCCAATCCCCAATCATGCTCCACTGCGTAACCTGCAGCTGCCGCCGCCACATCATTGCAAAACTGATCGCCGTTGTGAGAACCATTGGAGTCTAAGGCTGAGAAGTCGGACCATGAATCAATGAATGGACTGTAAACATATTGACAAGAGGCGTTCTCGTTCATCCCAGCAGTCTCAGTTGTGCTTTCTGCATCTGCCTGGCCACAAAAGCGTTCGCCCCTCAGACATTGCCAGACAGGTGCAGCCTGCCTGAAAGCACAGCTGCATCAAACGCTCATCAGATCCTCGAGGCATGCAAAGCGCCTCGACAAACTCCTGCACAACCTTGCAGACAGCTGGCAGATCGTGCTCGACCTCTCGGGTCCGGTCTAAAGCGATGCAACACGGGCACCTCCCAGCCATCGCACCGTACATCCCCGATGGTCTTGTATCCCTCCTGCACAACAATATTACAGCAATCCAGGATAATCCAGGTGTACCACTGGCCGCTGAACACCGATGAAGCCTCCTCGAACGAGGGGGCAAAGAAGCCTGCATCAAGGCCTCAGGGCACGGGCAAAAGCTAGACGATGCGAGATGTCATCATGCAATCCGCTCCATTGTTCTGGAAACGCCATGTGACAAGCCCCTCTGGTCATGGGACAAACTCTGCCCTGCAAGCCCCGAGTCGATTAAAATGTCGCAAGGATTGGGCTCCGGCATCGAAGCAGGCCACGGATTGGAGTCGGAGAAGGAAGACGCATGGCACACAGCGTCTTACATTGTGTGACATCTGCCGACTTTGCCGTCGCATCGTGCTGGTCCCTTCTTGCTAGCATAAAAAGGCCGGCACATGAAGCCGCTTAAGTGCAAGATCCCAGGCTTAGGCTTTGGTGTTGCGTCCTGCACCTGCCTGCAGCTGCGATCATCGATCATTGGCCATCAACTCAGAAAGTATCCCTTCAAGGCGAAGCATTGGTGCCATGCGGAGTCCTCATCCTTGAATTTCTTCTTGGGTCGCTTTGGCTTGACATCTTCGACATCATCCTGACAGACAGGTCCCTCAAAACATCGCCTCACAAGCTCACTGGACTCCTCTTCATCCTCGCCGAAATAATCCTTCTTGTCCTGCAGACAGTCTCATCTTCATCTTCGCTGGCATGCTGATAACATGTAATCACCCGGATTGGCTGCAAGAGTAAAGGAATTCTGAAGGATGTCCCGGAGTGTGCCGGGCAAACCTAGGCCCTCTCCTCTGGTGTCATACACCTTTCGTGCATCCACCAGGCTCCAGCCCCAAGCGAGCCAAACTCAGACTTGGTGGTCTTGATCTTGCCAATCTTGTCCTGAACCGGTGTGCAGTCGGTGACCTTTTCAAGGCCGTTGATGGCCCCCTGCTTTTCACACAAGACATGATGTGCGTGCTTGACGTTTCAAGATAGGTGCAAACCCAATATCGATTCAAAGCACAGCTGATTCAGGAGTCGGGGCAAGCATATGCAAAAACTGCCTTGGGGCATCTGGTTTGGGAATCAAGATAGGGTTTTAGCATGCGCATACTGAGACCTGAGACCGAGACCCTGTGCTTGTTCATGCACTTCCAGCAGATCGCCTTCCAGGGTCTGAGATGGCAACCTTTTCTTGCACGAGACAAGGTCAGAAAAACAGAGACCCCTAGGGATCTTTGGGCCCAGCCTAATAGAAAGTCTCTTGTAAGCCACATTAGTCTTCGGACATGGGGGAACCGTCTGGTGCGTTCCCAGCTGAATTACACCAGCACGGACAACATAGTTATATTATGGAGGATTGCAGCAGATTGTCGAGCCGAATTCTATGCGCCGTGTGCTGACAGAGCTTATTATTGTGAGCTTATTACTGCGAGTGTCTAGAGCACACACTTCGCACGATTCTGCGTTGTGGGAGCATGTTGACAGGCACTGACTCTCCCAACCACCAACGCACACGCTGCTTTTGTTCTGAGGGTTTCTTTCTGTGTTGAGGGTGCTACGAGGCTATTCGGCGTCCACGCCGGATATCTAAAGATTTCGGGCAAGCCCGCGTCAATATATATATATATATATATACTTGAGAGCCGCGGGCTGGGACGAAAGCTCTGTAGTGGACCGGGCTGCTGAAAGACGGAGACAGACATGCATACATATAACGGACAGACAAGCACAGAGACGCCCAGATAGAAATAGACACGTGCGTGTGTACGTATATGTACATGCAGACATGCATACAGAAACGCATGCATGTAATCAAACATACAAACATATACACAGATATATACAGATCTAGATAAATTCAAAAATACAGACAGACAGACAGACAGACAGACAGACAGACAGACAGACGTACGCACATGCATACATACATATACATACATACATACACATGCAGAGACAGAACTATGTGATATATGTATACATGCGAGGCAGGCGGAAGAAATGAAGAACTAGGCTCCACTCTATGCAACACAATCTCGCTGAAAAAACAAATTCCGATAAGAATCCACACTTCAATGCTGTCCAAGAAGTGCAAAGACCTTGCAGCAGGCCAGCAGTATATAATGGCAAACTCTACTGTCAAAATCTGACGCCTCCTGGACATAGTCAGATCATTGGAGTCATAAGTGTTTGTGTGCAAGATGGAACAGCGGACAAAATGCAGGCGAATTGACATGAACAAGGGGACAAGTCACAAGTTGCGACACACTCGCAGTACTTTCGTGTTGTGAGGACTGGAGCCGCATGTCGGCAGCCGCGAGACAACAGTGAGTTCAGCTACAGCATCACGGAGACGGCGCGACACGGCACCAATCTTCAAAAGGCGAACCACGAATCATCTTCATAGCTTCGTTGCACTGCCGAACAGCCTCGAAGCAGCCCGCAAGCTCTCCGGAAGAGCGCTTCCGACCACAGTACACGCCGCCTTTCTCAACAACAGTCCTCGGTGGAGCGAAAGCAGAAAGCACTGTCCTTTTCCGAGCTGCAGGGAGCCGGCTTGGAGCACAAAGAGCATGTAGCACCATCCTGAGTCACTGAGACGGGCCGTTTCAGCGGAAGCAGACTCAGCCGCGAGAGCGAGGCTGAGCGAAGCTGAGCGAAGCTGAGCGAAGCTGGGCTGCGCACGGGGAGCCAGCCGATCTGCTCCTTTTCCTTCGGCTTCTCGGGCTTCTCGGGCTCTGCATCTGGAGGCACCGCAGGTGGCTCCTTCGCCTTTGGCTTCTCTGGAGCCCTGAGATGACGCGAAAAGGTCGTGACACCGCCATAGCGACAGCTCTCTGGCTCTGCTCAGCTGCAGGCTTTTCGAGGCCTTGCAGCACTTTCCAAGCCTTCATCTTGTCCTGCTCGGGTTTCTCGCATCAGGTGGAAAGTCCCGAAGATGTCGCTGCGAGAAGACCGGCTCCTCTGGAGGCGACTCCTGTTTTCGGCGACTGAAATCCCAGAATCCAGCCGGGAACGCAGGCGGTCGCTTCTCCCACCTGGCCACCTCGCTTTGGACTTCGGCTCCTGAGCGCTGCGAGTCTGACGACACAGCCACCGCCCCCCCCCATGCCCCGGTCCCCCCGCCCCACAGCCGCAGAGAGGTCTCCTGTTTTGTTCTCTCTCCTTGGCCTTTGGCTCCGCTTTCGGCTGGGCCTCTGGAGCTGGAGCTGCTGGAGCTGTTGCCTTCGGAGCCTCAGAGGCAGCTCAAAGGAGAACGCGACAGTCACTGCATGTGATGTCCAGTGCCGCAAGCGGGCCGAGAAGGCACGGCCCAAATTCAACGCGGCTTGCTGCAGCTCCGCCTGGTCATGACAGAATGAGGCCCTTGAAGCGATTTATCTGTGTCGGAGAGTGCCGAGCGAAGTTGAAGGATCCTCCATCCAGTGCAGCTGGGTCAGCTTTAGTGTCATGGGAGCCGCAATGGGGATGCAAAGACCTATGCAGCTACACTGCAATGGCCTGCGACAGCAGGACTGGAGCAGCACGAGGTACCGGAGACAGCCCGGCTGCGGCCGCTGCTTGAACGGCCTGCTCAGCATGCTGGAAATGTCTTGCGCGTTTAACCCACGAAGCGTTGGCCTGCTCCGCCTTGAGAGCCTTCGGCATGCTTTAAAATCACAGATTGCCAACCAAAACTTGACTCACTCTGACACCTCCTCGTCTGAGGAATCCTGCAGCAGCTCTTCTGTCGCAGAGACCTTGGGGAGGAGACTACAAGCTATGAAGACACTTTGTACGCCAAGCCCCGTCAGAATTGCAGTCAGGCGCGCCTCAAACTTTCCATTGTCAGCTACCAGAACCTCTGTGACATTGGCTGCCGTGTTGTCCACTATAGACCTGTGCGGCGATACACCGAAACTGTGACGGCGAAGACATCTTGCGGCTATTGGCCAACGGCTGGGCTTCTCACTGTGCGAAGGCGTCTAGTCTAAGCTGATGCAATGGTGCCTTGCATCACGATCGCTCTGGACTTGCTCATCTAGATGCTCTGCTTGTCGCAAGAGCTGAGGGCCAGCGGGTTGATCACAAATCGGGCAACACCTGACGGGAGTGTTGTTAGTTTTCGTGCATGCTTGGACAAAAGCCAAGGCGCTTGCCAGGCATGTTTGGGCGGAATGCTCCGCATTGTGTGGATGTACGAGTTCAAATCGAAGCACTGCAGGTGCTCACACCTGGACAGAAAGTTTACAAGCTGGACAGTCTTTCAGAAACTCGAGGGTCATGCCTCGAACCGCGCGCAGCTTGCTCAATTCGTAGGAGGCTAGCTGGCGCAGTGTCAAGCCATCACATCTTTAGTCTCTCTCATCTGTATGCCACATATCATTACAGCAGTGGTAGAAAGCCCGCAGCGAATAACTCGAAATCGCTCGAACTGGGCGTCCCGCTGCAGCAGATCAACTTCAGAACGGGTGGCTCAACACAGCGGAGTGTGTCCTGCCATGCGCCACTGTCGTCGTAGCATGCAGGATCGTGGGAGATCTGGCCGCCTTGCCTTCTTCGACACGCGATCAGGACGATGCTCGCTGACCCATCTGAGCGCCACGCGCATGCGGATGCGTGCAGACGCAGCTGCACTCAGGCGAGCAGTCCGGCTGACAAGGATTCACCCCTGAGGCCAAAAGCATGCGAACGCGCTCAAGATCAAGCTTCATTCGGTCCTGTGAAGATGCGATATCTGCTTCAAGCAAGCCCGAGAGAAGACTGAGCTCCTCTAGCGGCGGCTGCTGTTGCACGACCTGCAAAGGCTTACGAAACTTCCGTCAAGGAATCCAAAGGACTGACTCACTCTATACATCTGCTCGAATAAGGCAGCTTACTACAATCCACCATCACGGATGTTCACAGCGGTTTCGGCCCAAATGCTTCTTTGCTAGTTTGTATCTCTCCGCAAGCAAGAAACAGCCTGCTCGGCGACCTGATCATCCCTCGCCACGCCCAGGCTAAGCACAAAGCCTCACATGGAGCCGGCACACTATCGCACTTGTCAGTGGAGGACTAGTTATCCAGAGTTTCGCTGCCAAGTTTGGGAATTGCCGTACATGTTTCCCTAGGCTGACGTGGGCACGTACGGACGCTCTCCGACGGAGATTCCCCGAAGGCTCTTTGGTGGCGCTCACCATTCAGCACCAAGAACACGGAGAGGAGGCACTTGTGAACCAACTAACTGAGTATAATGCTCACTCACTCTGCTCTGTGCAGGCTGCGAAAACATAGGCGGTATCTGGCTAGGAGCACTGGTGTTTCCGCGATCTGTGGCTCACAGCTTTCAGGGGAATGAGGTTGAGTTCATGAGACCTGGCAACTTTGGTCAGAGATTACATTGGTGAACAGTGGCAATTACTTCACTGCGGGAAAGGTTCGGATTGTGCTTAGAAACTCAACCGACAAGACTTCGTCGTCAAGCAAACAGCTGTGCCAACAGACGGCATCCGAGCACCCTCGGAGTAATATCATGCTTAGCTGAGGTCTCTCTGTCTCTGCACGCATGTTAAAGGATCTGAGACTTAGCTTCCCCTGCGGGCCGCTGCCTATGGCCCAGATTTCGGTCTTCTTGGCCGTTATCGCAACATTCACCTGCTTTCCAGCATTGCACTCAGTTCTCAACGGCAGAGGAGGGCACTTACCTCCATACCTTTTGAACATACTAGCATGGAAGCGCAAAACACTTGCTGGCTGCCTGCATTGGATGGTTGACCTGCCGCCCGTTTCTCAGAGTGTCACTCTCTCATGCCGTCGATCCTCAATCTAGCTCTTGGGTGCACAATTGCGAGGCGCTTTCTCAAGATGCATTTGCTAGGCAGGGGGCCTCGTTTGGACGCCGTGCAACGAAGTCCGTGAGGTTGAATGGTCCCGGGGCCTGAAAAAGAAAGCTATGCGGCTATGCGTCCACATTTTTCGAGCAGATGACATCAACTCTGCGAGGCAAGGCGATGTCCTCGAAATGCTCATCGTCCGGCTTCTTCACAAGAACTCTGCGATCGCCGACGAAAATCGAGATTCCACTGGGCCTCAAGCGGGACAGCAGAGCAGTGCTGACATAACTTCTGGAAGGCTGAGCTAGCTATCACGAGTCAATCCTTGCCTCAAGGACGTGAAGTGGACGGGATCTGTTCACTGCAGGTTTTTGAGGAGGAGTTAGTTGCACAAACTAGACCTGGCCAGCCTCACCTCTGCGCTACCACGATGCTGCAGGCAGACCTGCCTGAAGACTCAAGGATGGCTACGCCTGAGTATCCCGAAAATCGACCTGTGCGAAAAGAAACCACAAAAGCCGTGGGGACATGCAAGCGGATGTGTGCAAGACAGGTAGCATCCAAGCGGAGTCGTAAAGACGGGAACTTGAAAGACAATGACAACCAGAGCAGAAAATGCATCGACAGCCTGCAAAAAGCAGTAGTTTACAAAAGGGCAAGCTAAGCCGCATGTAGAACGACAGGGAAACCTATGCAACATGCAAAAAACAGAACCTAAACCAGGAAACAAATCAACGTCGCTTGGGATTCTGCGTTGACATAGCTGCTGGCTTGCGGTGGTTTTCCGCTATCAACCATGCTGGTGTTTGCTTCCAATTTGTCTTGACCAGACCTCAAGTGTATCCCAAACGGTCCCAACGACAACACACAATTCGGTTCTTGCTGAGGAGGTTGATTACAGCTCCATTATAGGGATATGCAGTGGCAGAACCAGCCTTCTACATCATGGCAACTTATCCGAGCAACTCGTTCGCCTAGCGGAAGCTCAACATGTTCAGGACTTTGGATTGGGCTTAACAGGGTTTTGGCAAGATTTCCCCCGCCTCGAGCGTTTGTGAGCCAAACTGGAGCCGACGGATCCGGAGGGTTGGCTTCATGGCCGTAAGATTCAATTTTGCGGTTGCTGTGTTTCTGCCAAGGACGGAGCCAGCTGTGAACCAGCTCGTATCGCCACTCCGGTGCATCGACTCTTAAGCATCGCACCTGCTACAACCGACATGCAATTTTGCGAGGCAGGTATTCATTCCAAAACGGCTAGTCACTCAAAGCCTCCAGGATATACTCAGGCAGTAGTCTGCCTGTCCTGCAGGAAGATAGTGGCGAAGAAGGACTTGACTCTCCCGAACCCGCCCAAGCCTGTATTCTAAGAAACCCATGATCGGTAGCTTGATGATATTTGGAGCTCCAGCCTGAAGCAGAGTTGATCCAGAGGGCAATTTCGCTGACAAGTGGACATTGCCTTCAAAGTGCTCCAGTGGAGGAGCTTCTTCGTGGGGAGCCATGGATTACAGCCCTTGAACCTCACGAGAGCAGACGAGACCCGTAGCCGAGCCGTCCGACCCTGATTCGTGCCTGCATGGTACACACAGGCCCGAGGAGCTTGATGACGAGTTGTACAAGGGCATCTTGCAGCCTCAGAAGAGCGCCGCCGCGGAACTGCTTCACGGCCTTGGCCCTGGCAGGCAGTGCCTTCACACTCGCTGCCAGGCGGTGGCGGCGCCTAGTCCAGCATCCCAGCAAAAGCAAATTGCGAGCTTTTCGGCTCATTGCAGCATGCCGAGGATGGGGTCACAACCTCTGGTGGTGGTGGTGCAGAGTCCGGCTCCGGTGGAGGAGCAGGAATCTCATGGGGCGGGGCCGCTGGAGGAGCCTCCCTGGCATCCAACTGAAGCTTCGACCAGGTGTTACAAGCACAATCACGGCATCGCTCTTCCAAACCTTTACAAAAGTCTTGTCAGAGGTGCTCGGGCGGAGGTGGATGCTCAGGCGGAGGTGGGTCAGCTGCTGCAGCCTCTGCGATATGCCATTTCACAAACACACACACACACACATGTGCCTCAATGCTATATAGTACATATATATGCTTTCCATGAACAGCTATGCAAAACATGTTAAAGCTCACGCTTTTGTAAATCACATGCGCAGTTAGGCAGACAGTGGCATGTTGTTGCCGATAAGTGCTTCGCCGTCGCCTGCTCTTGAAACCATGCCAGGCTATTGCTGGAAGTTGCAGGGCGTGGTTTGGCATTACCAAATTCTCGCAATACGGCATTGTACAAGCACGAACACAAGCGGTTTGCCTGGTTCGGAAGCCCTTCGGGGCTTCTCATGCAAAAGCGCGACTGATCCTGCCGATTGCACTTGGACAAGGATCTGGAATGTACAGACTAGAGCTGCACCTGTACAGGCGTTCAGTGACGGAGTGATACACTGTGCGGACACCCAAGGCCGTGTCTGACACTCCCGAAGAGTGATCCTGCCACTGTACGTCGCAAAAACCTTTGCGTGCCTTCTGACAAGAAATGTACCGAAGCACAGAAAAGCCAGTGGCGCTGTACTCACACTTCTCACACTTGCCGCAGCTTGCGTGAGCCGCTGAAGCTCTCTCGGACTTCTCCCAAACCATGCTGTGCACGCCCGAGCAGGACTGGATTCTCGGTTGCCGCAAATTGGGAGCAACGGCGACGGTGGCTGGAGGAGCGCAGCTGAATAAACGAACTGAGTAGAAGAGTTGCAAGTGCAAGAAAGTCGGCTGGCACATAGCGATCAGGTGAGGCGTGGGCCATGCCCAAGCTTCGCGCCATAACAGCAGCCAAAGGCAAAATTCCCGCATCAAGGGATGCAGCAGTAATTGTGTCAGAGTGGCGAAGTACAGCCAGCCTCGAGAGCGTCTCCACTGCTCCAAGCCCAAGTGCCGCAACCGCAACCAGGCTGAAGTCAAGCTGAACAGCAGAAACAGCGTTGGTGTCCCAATCCATCGACTTTAAGGGCAATTGGCCCAAGGTTAGAGGCAGCACAAGCATAGATCCAAAGAACCCGCTAAAACCACCTACAAAGAAGAGACCACCCCAAGAATTATCCACTCCCACTCGCCGCAACAGAAAGGCACCACCGGCACATCGCAAGGCTCTGCAAATTGTTGCAACAGCAGCGGCGGTGATGAGCAATGCATCGCCCGGATGTGAGCGGAAGGTGTCTTCCTTTCGCCCGTAACACTCGCAAAGCAACCAAGAACAGGCCAGGCCCAGAGATATGGGCAACGAGGACAGTACAGGCGCCTCAGCGCAAAACAGAGCGAATCAATTGTACGCAGGGCTGCTCCCGAAACGCTTACGAGTACCTACCCAGTGCGGTCCGGCTCGCTTGAGAGTCTCCACTCATCAGCGCGTTGAGAGCAGCTGCTACTGGAATGTCAGCACAGCGCAGCAGAGCCAAGATCACGCTTTGCCTTGCAGTCAGATGCACAAGGCACACACGCTAAGTGGTTGTCAGCTGAGTCAATTTTGGGATCGTGGGCCTGTTGCTCCCACCAGAAGGAACGAAGACATCAAGGGCGGCAGCGCAAGCTTCGAGAATGCCCAACACAGCGGCTGCGGCGATAGCTCTCCCAGTGACCGCCACGGAGGGGAACCAGGCCTAGGCTACGCCGCGAAGCTAAGGGCAGGACTGCACAAGGATTAGACGCAGACATATCTTAGACAAGCTCATGGATGGACAAAAAGTTCAGGCCGAGAGACGCCATTGACGTGCCGATGCCACAGGGCTCCCATCATGAGCACAGGCCATGCCATCCAGGGAAAGGTGACCGGAGGTATGGGCAAAGGCCCAATGGACAGAGCCCCTGTTGCGATGCATGCCTGACACGGAACAAGGAAAAAACAAACGGCAAAAAAAGAACGTCCATCGCATCCCAGCCCCAGCCCATGGCACCTGCAAAGCCCGCAGCGCCATGGCACAAGGGAAAAGCACGCAAGCAATTAAAGCAGTCGCAGGTGCTGGCCAAGGAAGCTGCTGCTCTTTCACGAACAGTTTGGCACTCCTGTCGGCTTCGGGGCCCAGCGACTGCAAACAACAGATCATCCATGCTGTTTTTAAGCAAAAGGCCTCCTGCTCTTCTGCACCATGGCCAATGGAGATCACTGGGGGACAAGCACCCAAGTTAAGTTTAGCTAACAGACTTTGAGCAAACAAATCTTGCAGAATGAGCTGCTGAAATCGCAAAGAGGCAGCCTGGGGGCAAGTGCTAGGCCACCGGCACCTGCATCTTGCCCTTCACCCTCTTCCTCCAGCGCATCCCATAGCTCATCATCCGACGCCATGCAGGCCAACTCTGCTAGGGGTTGTATGCTTGGTGTGCCTGGGGGGTAGTAGGGTGTGTTAGCTTACAAGCTTCGACGGTGTTGCATTCAACAATACTTCGGTGGATCCAGTGCTTCCAGTTCGTACGTGATTCTGTTCACAAGAGTTTCTTGCGTGCAAACCGCAGTACATCAAGCGACGACTTTCTATCGCGAGGTAAGATCTAGCGGCCTGCATGTAATATCAGCTATAGAGACCATGGCCTCCTTCTACTCTAAGAATTTCAAGCTCAAAGCTGGGAGCAGCATTCAGGAAATCCGCGCAGCATGAAGCACTCCATCTGGTGCTCAAAATTGCTCATACAAATGCAAACGAAGCCGGGTGACCCTCGAACCGTCATCGTGGCCACCTAGCTGAGAAATTGGAAGTTCCAGTGCTTGATTGTACAGGATTGCACTAGACTCAGCAGTGCAGCACAGCGGAGCTTGCACGGCTGCATGACTAGCGATCCCGCAGACGGATGATAATCCAAATGAGTGACTCCCCATCGAGCACCGCTTGCATAGGTCGCACAAGATACCTCGGAATTAAAACGAGACTGTAACATACTATAAACACGTTCTTTGCCGTAAATGCATCACGGAGGCTGCAACACGAGGCAGACATTTCGAATCACGTTGGACAGCATATTGTACAATATGACACTGTGCTTCCCTCCGTTCGAAGCGTTGGGAGTCTTGGCATGGTGCTTCAGCCCTTGGTCGTGCATTTCTCGACCTTTGCTTCCCGCTGCAGTTTGTGTTTGTATCTGCTTGCCTTCCAGCGATATGCATCATGCTCGGATCTTGTGTCATCGGCTCCAAGATTTCCTACGCTTGTTTTCTCGTCCTATCAGCTACAGTATATACCCTGTTGACGCTTTCTTTTCTGTCTTCAGTTCCCAGATAGCGAGGCATAATCGACGCATCCATGACAAAACCTCCCAGCTGCAGTCCGGGACATGAAGGCACGTACGCGATTTTCGTTCAGAACATCGCAAGTTGGCATCTCGCAAACTCTACATGGAAAAAATCTTGACTTCATCGGCTGCTTGGACGGCTGGCCAATCACGGAGACCTCGACCTCGGAGCTTGTGGAAAAGCGCAGCATCACTCATGGATTGCATGTTTCACACAACCTATGCAGTTTTGCAATCCAAGGACAGGAAATGCTCAGCCAACTTTTCACGCAAGAGTTCAGGCTCCCTGCCCGAGTGTTTGCAATGCGGTGACTAGTACCGTGCCGGCTCTGTTTAAGAAAACACTGGCTAAGAAAACCAGTGCTCTGGATTTTCCAGATATATGCATCTTCGCTGCCCCTTCTAACTAAGAAGATGAGTGCCCTCTGACGTTCGGACCCTAGTTTCTTAACTGTGTGCTTTTCTTGTTGAGGGGAATGAGGACTGATTTCCTCAAGTAGCGGCATACATTGACACATGAATCTTGAATCGATTGCTGGTTGCCTGAAGCCCCAATCACCCTCAATACGGCTAGGAAAATGAGCACCCCTTTTCGTAACACTGTCTCCACATGGTAATAACGTGAAGAACACGAGCACTCATTTTCTTAGCACCCTTTTCCACATGGATTTGGAGCATTGGGGTCTGGGCGGGCCCAAATCCATGTGGAGACAGTCTTAAGAAAACGAATACTCATTTTCGTAGCACCCTTTTCCACATGGATTTGGAACATTGGGGTCTGGGCGGGCCCAAATCCATGTGGAGACAGTGTTAAGAAAACGAATACTCGTTTTCGTAGCACCCTTTTCCACATGGATTTGGAGCATTGGGGTCTGACTGGGCGGGCCCAAATCCATGCGGAGACAGTCTTAAGAAAACGAATACTCATTTTCTTAGCACCCTTTTCTACATGGATTTGGAGCATTGGGGTCTGGGCGGGCCCAAATCCATGCGGAGACAGTCTTAAGAAAACGAGTACTCATTTTCTTAGCCGTATTTGCGGCTGGGTTTGGAGCTGGGGGATGGGGCGGGTTCAAATCCAGCCAACACTATGATTGAGAAAATGAGTACTCGTTTTCTTAACACTGTCTCCACATGGATCTGCTCCAAATTCCAAGGAATCAGTTCGCCAGATTTACAGGCATCGGAAACGATCTCGATGTCAGACATTGCGGCTTTCCACTACAAGGAAGGCAGGTGCAATGTTGGAGGTGTTAGCACCTGCTCCCTGCAAACGCTTGCCAAGACAATACTAAGAAAATGAGTGGGCACTGGATTCTGAGAGCCACATTCTCATGGAAGAGCAAGCTAAGAAAATGAGTGACCTCTGAGCTCACCGACTTGTTTGCCTACCCAACGCTTGCACTGTATCTCAGCAGGCACGTTATGGCCTGTTGTCTATCACGACCGCGACCGCTTTCAACATCGTTTCTATGTGCATGCGCGCAAGCGACATGGTCCCGGACCAGACACTTATTTTCGTTTTTTGGGGTCAATGCAACCTCTGCAGCAAATATGTAAAGTCTGCCACGCGCACACACACACACACCTCTACTGATTGCTCCATGTAAGTTTCTTCACCATTAGCAAACATGTATGCTATTCCACACGACTACATCCAATGGTTTGTTTCGGGGTTCATCGCATGCCACCTCCACCCCACCCGGTGGAGCAAGATGGATGCTTAGGCTTCGGGGCAGAATTGAGCGGAAACTGAAAACGTGGAGAGCTGACAAATGCAAAACCATGGGCTACGCGGCTACGTGGCGCACGTTCAGTGCGCCTGCACCCCAGACCAAAAACGAGACACTGCAGGCACGTCGTTTCAAAATTTCGATGGAATTTTGAAAGCTAGGTCATGCAATATGTAGGACAACAAATGCTCTGTGACTCAGACGGCCTTGAGCCGAGCACAGAGAACAGAGCTCGGAAAATGGGATCAAAATGAAGGCTGTGATGCAGGTCCTGGTCACATTACAGGTTTGCACACGGTATCAGACGATATCAACATGCCGGCTCTAATTCTCTAACTATCATCTCTACGTCTCTCTGTCTTTCTTTCTCTCTTCACCTCCTCTCTTTCTTCTAGTCGCTCTTGAATCCGACGGTCGCTCGAGTCGAGGCAAGAGGCAAGCCAGGTCAGGCATGTCCCAAACACAGCCGGTTGCCATTCCAACCTGTGCAGGAGGCTCCCGAAGCACGGTGAATGCCGGCTCAGGCGGGTCATGTCGGAAGTCCATGCGCTGCCTTCTTGGCCTCCACTTTGAGCCGATCCTCCAGGGATGACAGCGGACCTGGGACCATTTGGGAGGACGTGCACTTGCGAGGAGTGGAGACGCTGCTCGCTTCCGTTTTTGACTCGTCGGAGCAGCTGCATACCGGAATGCGGAGTGCGTTCATGTTCGCATGTTCCTTGCATGGGAACAATGCAGGTGTAAATAATGTCAGACAGCCACATGGGCCAGCATCAGCTTCATCACTCAGACTCGGTTATACATGGCCATGCTCTCCCACTCTCTGCTGCAGTGATTCACTCGTGCTTCGCGAATTCGCGAATAAAGGTTTGAATGGCGTAGGACAAATCAGCTTCAGCAAGTCTACGACAAGCAGAGGTCGTATTGGCATGGTTAACGACAACAGTTCAATATGGCACGTCAACTACGCTGATCTCAGAAGTGGACCCTCGGCCAGTTCTGGCCTTGGCGAGTTTGATCGTCTCAGCAGTTCTTGGCCAAACTGCAAATTCCCAGGTTCTCGGAGTCGCACGGAGCTCCGCAGATGTGGACTGCAATACCTACAGTGCGACGGTTTGCTCAACTCTACAAACCTTCAAACCACAACAAGATTCAGCCGAGCTACGGTTGCCTGTACCTTCAACCTTGGCGCAAGCAAGTCCAAGAGTTCCTGCTTGCCTGGTACTACTAGTATCTCAACTACATTGACATGAAGAATCCCAACTTCAATGCCTTACCCATCGTGCCGCGATCGTACAGTATCGTACTTATCGTACAGCTTCGTGCTACCCAGTGGGATCCCCGAGCACAGACACTGACACAGCGACTTGACTTCATATCTCACAGCGTGTCTCTGTCTCCACTGCTCTCTGTGACTCTTGTGGGAACTTTCCGTGCCCCATCACATCCAGCACACTTGTGTCGGCTGTCTTTGGAATGGCAGCTTTAGAGGTGTTGCACATCCTGCCTTGTGGAAACCTTACCTGTTAGCACTCCTTCTGTGCATCGAATTCTGCCATTGACGATGCCCATCAAGACCGCAGCTCAAGCTGCAGGTTCACAGTGGCTACAGACAAGTTCAATGCAAATCAAGTGTCACCTGCGCTCAAGCAACAGCTCACCCTGCGGTGTCTTTCTAGACATTGAGTGGAACGGTCGACCTGAACTCGAGAGCACTTGCCACGGCTTGGCCGCGACCCAAAGCGTCTTGCCAGTCACCCCCAACCACGGGGTGTCCGAAAAGTCACTACAGAGAAACGTACAGATCCGTGACTTCTTGGCCCTCACATTCCCCGAATCCAAACACGAGGAAGGGAGCTACGCTATCCGTCACATCCGGTGCCACAAAGCCACATCAAATATCTTCTCCAAGTCATTCTCTGGGTCGACAGGTTTGTTGACCTTGCGGAAGCGCGACAACCCCCTCTGCAACAGCGGCCGTAGCAGCAGAAGCCCATGACAGATCGTGCGCCTGAATGGAAAAGCTTCTGCCGGAGCCATGCGAACTCAAGGCCCCGCCGTACGCCGCTAATGGGGCTGCCTCGATTGCAGATCAGCTCCAGAAGCGCAAGAGTGCTTGCCTTCCTAAGCCGAGGGCCAAATCAACATGTGGCAGAAAGTTGGTGGCCACAACGCCACAACGCCGTAGGAGGCCATTGGAAAGGGCTTCAACCAAGCCCTCGCCCCTGCACAAACCGCGATGAGATTGGCCGTGTCTGACTGTGCCCAGGCACCTGCTCCACAAAGCTTCAGGTACGTTTCCGTCTGGATCGTATGCATCGACGAGAACCTCAAGAGATGTCAAGAACTCCATTGTCCATGGTTTCAGCAACGATCTAAACTCTAAACTGTCCAACCTAAACAGGTGCGACTACCACTTTGCCAAGCATCAGCATCGTAGACTCCAGCGTCTGGGGCTCCTTCCTGACACTTTGGGGGCGCTTCCGACGCTCAAGTATCTGCAGCTAGGAATTGCACTAAAGTAGTCGCTTCCACTCACCCAACCTGTCCTGGACCTTCTTCTGTGCGAACGTGACCCCGTCCTGCGGCTGGGACATTTCAAACTACTACGCGATTAACATTGCCTATCTGCATGTTCGCATCCTCCAGGAACACCTTCAGATTCGGCCATTCACGAAAGCCCATGCCCTGCACTGCGTCATAAGAGTGAGAGGGTGTGTGCTATTTGAGCTGCTATGAGCTGCATGCTGACATCCGCACCTCCTTAGCAGCGTGCACCACCTGACGTCCGGCCAGCTGCTCAGCACTGCGAGCACCCTCTTCGGCTCCTACTGAGGTGGATGCAGCAGGCTCCAATTCGACGACATCGACCTGGCAGTGAGGTAGGCTCTCCGCGTAGAAAGACCTTGCCGAGCGGAGGAAAACAAGCTGTCGAGCCAATCAAGATGACGAGACCCCTGCGGAACAGTGCCACCACCCAGTCCAATACAAAGGATGCGCAAGGGCTCCTGTAGTCTGCACTGCAAGACTGTCAGTGCCAGAAGTCCTCGTCCGAAGCCGAAGTGGTCCTTGGCCTTCATGGCCTTTCTTGGCAAGACCGGGGCACCCATGGCTGACAAAGCAGCCAGGACGACGGTGGCAAAAGACTGCCAGGAACAAGGCCGAATTTTGTGAAGCTGAGAATGCCAACATTGCTTCCAGCTGTTGCCTTGGTGTAGGCCAGTGGCACCACATGGCCTCTGGCCCCAGCGTTTACGCTGTGATTGCAAACCGAGTCCACAGACTTAGACCAAGAAATACTCACCACGGAAACAGCTGGCCTTGAATCCGTGGAAGCTGGTCGTCGTTTGGATAGACGACCACCTGAAAGTCGAGGGAGGAGATCAGTAGCGGTCAAACGTCCCCATGCTGAAAAGCCTGCCTTCGTCACACTCTGTATGAGACCTCCGCCTTCAAACGTGCAGTTGAATCGTGTCTTCACATGTTTGCACGTACTACACATCATTGAAACAATAAAACCTCTACTGCTGTAGCCAAACTAGGGTATGTTGAGTTTGGATTCCCTGAATCAATGAAGCTACCCACAGCATGAAAACCGTCCGCAAGTTGGTGTTTTCACGAGACCTGCTGACAACTCGCCGAAACGGGTGCAAAGATCACCGACAAAACATGGTTGCATCATGTCGGCTCCTTTTGACCCCTAAGCCTCTAAACCATAGCTTCTGCATGGAGATTCATTGTTGCTTACTATGGCTTATCATTATGCATGGAGACTTCTTGATTGGACACTGGCATTTCTGATGCCCATGGATGTCGGAGAGACTCCCAAAAACTGCCGTTCCCTACTAGCTGTGCAAATCCCCGGACAAGAGCCTCAAGCATAAACGCAAGACCATCTGAAAGCCAAATCCTAAAACGTAAGCCCAAGACCGCTAACCAGGAATCATGCTTGGCGTCGTCCTCATCCTCAATATCGAAGGCATGTTCTCATCACCACCGCAACCCAATGCCGTCGTCATCGTCACCATCTCCACACCACTAACAAAGGCATTAGCTAGCATCAGTCAGTATGTACGAGTACAGCAGCCTTGCCATGATGATCAGCATCACCGGGCTCTCACGAAAGGAGTGTTGATGAAAAGATAAGACTGAACGCGGTAAAAGTGCTGAAGTAGGATGTAATGGGAAACATTGCAATTAAGGGAGCCTCCAAAATGGTGGGTCAAGGGTAGACGGAGAGAAACCGGCGACGGTGGTCTGCTCCGGTGAACCAAAATGTAACAGGTGGTGATCCTTTGTGGGATGGGCCCTGAGTGCCTACGAGGCGGAATCGAACGGCATGCTGTTCGTCCACTGAATGGGCTCAGCATGCTTCACAATCATCCGCCAAGCTGCTGCGAAGGAAACGAAGGCAGCGCCATTCCTGAGACGGGCTCTCGACTCAAACGAATGTAGGCCCAGGCAGTGCGAGCCGCCGAAGCTCCTGAAAGGAACCCGCGGGTGCTCCAGGTGGAGCCTGGCTCTCGGAAGCCTTGTGAGCTGTGACCTGCAACCACTGGCACTGCACAGGCACTGCAGCCCTCACAGACGAAGGAATCACACTTTTACGCTTGCATCGCGCTAGCTCTGGTCTCGCTCCGGTCACAGCACAGTACTTCTGTGTATGACGATAGGTGTGACTATGCAGGTGGGCCCAGACTATGGCATGCCATGGGTGTGAATAGCGCTTTTCCATCCTCTACGAGCATCTACGAGCCATCGACCGGATTTGATGAGGGGACTGGCGTCGGCTTTGGGAGCAGGTGGTACGCGACATGACTTGCGCAGCTCCTGCCTGCAGCGTCCCGCCATTGTCCAGAGGCAGCTCAAGAATTTTCTTAGCCGTGGCAGGATGTGCTCCGGCTTTCTATCCTCAAGCAAGCTCAGGGCAGCACTCTGCCTGGAGCAAAGTACCTGCAGGTCGATGCTGGTCTTCTGAGCTTGTATGTGGGACAGTGCGATGCGGAAAGGAACACGGGCGACATGGGGCGACGCTTGAGGGGGCACTCAGTTATCAGCTCCTCTCGTCCTGGATCCAAGGCTCTGGAGGAAGAACGTGTTCGTCGAACCTGCCCAGGCTCGGAATACGTGCTTTGCTTGCTTTGCTGTGCCAATGGGCCGATCACTGCAATTAAGGAGCTCTCTGCAGTTTTGGCTTTGCGAGTTCGCTTTACTGTGCTGAGGTGGCAACTTTGGCCAGCAGAATGCTTCGCATTCACGAGACATGCATGTCTGACCTATGTTTCCCCTGCCGATCGTGCACCATGTTCTGAATCCGTTGTTCATAATGCAGCTCATTTGCGTTTAGGTGATAGAAACGCAAGGTCACATGGAGTGAGCAAGAAGTGCAAGACTTTGTTGCAATGACCGAGCTCGGGCAGTGAATCCATCCAGAACAGCAGTCGACCTGGTCGTCTTCGACGTTTACTTGTTTCATTGATTCATATGGACTTGCATCACCTAAAAGAATTTCTGGCGTCGGTCAACAGCGGCTTTCCAGGAAGGGCTCACACATGGTGCCCGCTGTGAGCGTGGTACAGTTCGCAAACTCCTGAGTTTTCCGCAAGCCCCCACACGATTACATGCAAAAGCTCAGGCTGACTAAGAGATAGAAACTTGAAGGTGAAAGTCACGAGGCCATGAAAATACTAAAGATCCTCATAAGCTGCCAGGCTTGCTCGAACGACTCTTGGGCTGAGATCAAACTGAAACGAAAACGAAGACCAGGTGCACTTTGTGCCAAACAGAATCAGGAAGCACTTGATGCCTTGCATTCAAGCACGCCTTCACTTCTTAATTCCGCAACAAACCGGGCCAGTCTTGATGCTTGACCGTTGCCACGATTATAACGCAGTCTCACCGCTAGCTGCCCATGACATGTCAAGTGCAACCTCTGAAACCCTGGTCGTTTGCTTGCTGATGCTGTGGAAATCCGCGGAATAGTGGACAGTCCCAAAATCGCAGATTCACCACGGAGGGGAGGCGAACAAAGTTTGTTTTAATGCATGTCGGGCTCGTAGAAAAGTCGTAGCATCTCAGTCACCCGGTCATGTGACTAGGAAAATTGCCTCAGTAACGGCAGCTTGGCCTGGCATAGCGCGCGCATGGCGCAGCAGAAGCTCTCCCTACGGCGCTACGGCGGCCGGCGGGCGAAGAGCGAGCAGCGAGCCTGGAGCATGGCGTTGTCTCTCTGAGAGGAAACTCCTGGAGCGCACAGCGAGCAGACGCATACTGCCCACATCAGGAATACTTCTGTCTGAGATCGGAACAAGACGGCACTCGAGAGCAAGAGGTGTCATTTCTCGCACCTTAGCTTGTGGAGCGTGCTGCTTCTAGGGGCGAGGTACTGTGGGGAAAAACACAGTGACACAGTGCGACATGCAGCTACCTCGGCTATTCCGAGGCATGCTGTTGCTTCGACCAGACTCAACCGCCAGAGGCATCGAGATCTTGAAAAAATGCCAGTGCAAGCAGAGACTGCTTACTATGCGAGCTGGAGAGGATCGGCAAAGACAGCCTGCACCGCCGTCAATCTTGCACGTCATCATCGGCGATGTAGAATTAAAGAACTACTGGTTTTTAATAGTCCGGCGGACCCTGCGTTCCAGCAAGACTCCGAATGTACGCATCGAAAATGCAGGCAGCTTGCTCGTTCCCGGTATCCGTCGTCACAGGTGACGCTGCAGTCACCTGGCACAATGGCACGGAACAGGTGGTGACTGTCTGTATGTCAAGCCTGAGCAGTGCAAGGCACATGCCGCGCACACCCCATCCAGACCACGCTGACCTGAGACTTGCTAGAACATATCATACAACATGAGGAGCATACACTGCCTGGGCATGTGATATCAAGCTTCCGGACACGAATTCTTCAACGCTCGCTTCATGGCAAGGCATCGTGTCAAGAAACTTCACTCTCCTGCACAGACACGGGGTGACCCAGCAGGACCGATCTGAGCAATGCTTCCACCTGCTCTGCGGGCTGACTTCGCAGTGAGAAAAGTCAGCGGCGAACCTGTAAGAAGAGGTGGCAAGTCAAAGTCTTCCTCCGCACACTGCGCATGAGACTAGCGCCTGCGTCGTCGTGTCTTGACTCCACCACCGCACTTGTTGCAGGTATCTGCCCAGGAGGTCCTGCCAAGGGCGACAATCTGGTGGCCACGAGTTCCTCACTTGCACCAAGTAGACGAGCAATGAGTCGGTCCATTCAGTCAGAGCATCTGGGCTGTCACACTCTCCAGCTGCGGGGAGCACCTGGCACAAAAACACCCTTCTTCGACACCTTTCGCTCTGACAGCTTCTGCTCAGCTGCCGACATCGCAGCCAATGTCCGCATTTACACCTTTGGACAAAAGTGACAAGAGACACACGGACCAGAGACCAGATGTGTTCGCTAGGCCCAGATTGCTGTCCACGCGAAGGCGCACGCCCCTCTGTTGTTTCCTTCGAATCTTCGTTCTATGGATGTCGAAGGTCTATATACTGCACAAGTTTCAGCCGACACGATGTCTCTGCCGGACGACAGTTTTGGCGGGAGTCTTTTGGCCGAAGTCTTTGCATGCTGATCTCGGCTTGCCTTGCCGTTGCTTGCTGCCAATCGACCAGCTGACCGGGCCGCAGGCACGGGCAGACAGGCAAACAAACAACTTTGCAGTCACGTGTTTTGTGTTCTTGTAATCATGCAGTCCTTTGCAATGTGAGTGTTGATCAAATGAGACGCTGACAGCAGTACTCGACGTGCTCAGCAGACCAATACCGCAGATGAGACACCTGACATGCAGGCACAAGTCTTCCAAACATGCTTTAGCTGCAAAGCTCGTCAAATGGAGGGCACGCCTCATCCTCGTTGCAGTTGAAGTCACCAGCATGCTCAGCCTCCAGCTTGCTTTGAAGAAAGGCTAGACAGCGATGTTATGCAATGCAATAATTTGGATCATTCAATCCAAAGTTCTTGGCTGGAGGAGGATGCGTTCAGACGAGCAAACGCCTCTAGGAATCTAAGAACCCAGAAGATCCTTTGCCCTGACGGACGCCCCGCGGCCACGCCTCACCAATCCGTGTCGAAAACGGCGGCACGACCTGAGCAGGGGCGGCCGGTTCTTCAAGTGGAGGATGAAGCTTCGCACCGCCTTCGCATGCTTGATCTGCTTTGGCCGCGTTTCGGAAGGGCCGTGTTCGTGCACCTCTCGCGACTCTGCTGCTGCCACCCCTCACCCAGACCCACCCTCTACCTTACCCTACTTGGGCGGAGGGTGAAAAAAAGCCTACCTCTGCCTACTCCCGACCCCCCTCCCTACCCCCTCAAACAAAGAAAGGTGGACCCACCCTCCTGCCTACCCCCCCCCAACCCCCCCCTACCTATGAAGGGCTCAGGAAGCTGAAAGCTTTTTGAAGCCGCGAATGTGCGCCTGTGGTTGGCTCGTGGTGAGCCGCTGCGGGCTGGCATGGCTTGCGGCGATGATCTGCTTCTGCACACTCGTGGAGAGACTTTGCTGATGGCCGTGCGAGTCCTCGCAGCGGCGATTGGCGACTCACTGGGCTTTAGGCTTCGCGCACATCTGCTCGTGCGCTTGCGGCTTGCAATTCCGCAGAACTGTGGCGGCGACCGCGGCTTCAGAGGAAACTGTCGTTCGGGGCATTGAAGCATGCGCATCATGCGCATGCTCTCGTCGCGCCTGCAAGCAATTTAAGTTCACCCTTAGCAGCTCAAAGTTCACAAGGGCCTCAGGCGTCCCCTTTCGCAGGCTTTGTGCTGAAGGCTCCTGTGAACATGTCAAGTGGCGGCGAGTGACGAGAAAGGCATGGCTCTGAGGAAGGAACCGTCCCATTCGGCTTCACCAGAAAGACAACACCGGCAATCACCTCAATACTCTGGCTTGAAAACAGTCTTGGTCTTGGCTCGTCATACTCTTCCATGTTCATCACGGCAGAGACAAGTGCAGGAATCCACAAAATCTTATGCTTCCGTGTTGGTGTGATCGTTAATTTGCTGTTCATGCCTCACATGTCACATGTCCTTGAATAAGCTATTGAAACCTCCCAGGCATTGTAACTGTAGGAGGCTCACACTTGGCGGGGAAGCTGCTGAAGCTGATGAGGCCGTGACAGCAAGAAGCAGAACGATGAAAACTGCGCCAATCACCTCGTTTGACTTCAGTTCAAGAACAAAAACCACGAACTGTGCACCGGCGCAGTAGTAAGGTGGAGACTGACAGAGCTCGGGCACCATCACAAGCAGTACCCCACGGGCTCACACTTCGGTCAACTACCTGCAGGGACCGACAATACTTCAAACATACATCAATGATCAGACTGCAGAGCAGGGTTCGGCAGCCTGAGTGCCAATGGCGATTCCGATTGTGGGCGCGGCCACATCTGAACCAAGGAGAGGCACTTTCGCCTGAAAGGAGCGGCCGTGTGGAGGCTGGCGGCTGGCGGGCTGAGAAACCACCTCTGCTTCCTCCAATGCACGGTCACTGTGGGTTGGCTTGGCCGTCTCGCGGCCCTCCTCACGGCGCTGCTAAGCTGCTAATGCAAGATCACTTAATCGCTGCTGCTTGAGGCAGCCTCCACAGCCTTTGGTGCGCCGGTTTTCGCACCCTCAGTTGCTCAAAGCACTGAGAGCGCTTAAGGGTAGCTCTCTCTCTGACGGAGCGGCCTGCGTTTCGTTTAAGCCGCCGGGCTTCTGCACCTGGCGCATGCGCTTCGCCTTTTGCGCTTCTCTTTTCATTCGTCGTTGTCTTAATTCTTCACACACGCACACTCGCTGGGATCCAAGGACACAATTGGGAAGGCGTCCACCCAGTCACAGTGAGCACACTCATTCCGGAAATTGCACGTTAGCAGGCGCTGAAGATGGCCTGTCCATGTCGGTTCCTATAAATAAGACTCCGAGAACATCAACAACTCATAAAACCTCGCAAATGCTAGGTGCTTCGTCTAGGGCACTACTATGCCGGTTGTGCGGGCACCGCCCCGCTCCAAAACCATTCCCGCGCACTCCACCAGCACTCAAACCGGATTGCTCACTGGCTCTCCAACTCCTCACGCGATGGAGTCAAGGCTTGTCCTCATTACCTGACCCATTCTTGTCTCTGACCATGCTTGCCTTCTGAAGCAAAGCCTGTCCAAATTAACTGACCCCCTGTGGTTAGAGGCACATGCTTGTTGCTGAGGGCCTGGGCCAAAAGAATCAAAGGCAAATCGGTTGCATTCTTGCTTCTCAAAAACCAAGTCTATAAGTTCCATTGCCATGCTCTCTGCCTGATGATATTCTGATTCCTTTTAACTGTAGGTCTTTTGCTCATCTCGCGAAAGCGCGCTGTAGCTATAGGCAGTCTGTGGCGAAGTATGCCGGAAGCACGAGCGACGAGAGCAGAGCTCCAGCTTTGGAAGATGCATTGAGCTGCGTCCTTGACACATATGCAAACTCACTATCTCTGCATGGCATACAAGTAGCCAGAGAGCCAGACGCACTTGACACGACCGTTTTCTGGTCTGTTGCCTTGGACCTCCAACACAAGAAACGCAAGTCGCTGCGCTAGACTCCAGCGCGCTAGAGAACTGAAGCGCAGAAAGAAGTTCACTGCAGCCTACCTGGCTGCCACGGGAGGTGCCGTGCCTGGGCTGCCTGTGTCGAGCACAAATCGCGACATGCTATAGGGCTGTGCGTCTCGATTCCTTTCCCTACGTCCGTGGCCTGTGACGCCCGCAGCTTGGCTCTGAGATCCCCCACCTGCGCTGGCTTTGGTGCCTCCGAGAGAAAAGCACAGGTCCATCGAAATGCTCCTCGAAAATGCGGCAGGCGCCTTTCGCACCCCCAGGTTTGCCTTGCGGCTGACTCAAAACGTCAGGAAATGTCAGGAACCCTCGATGCCACACGTGAGCCCCTCACTCATCAGAGACTGTAGAGCACTCCCTGCGCTGGAGGTCATGTGCGTCCCCCTCACAGCAGGCTGGCTTTCCCATGCTAGACACCACGAAGAGAAAAGGGACCCGGCATGGAGAGCCGAGTCTGCTGGTCATCTGCAACCCCTCGGCGCTCCAGGATCTCTGGGAGTCGCTTGCGGGAAGTCTCTGCAGGGCCCAAAACGGGGTGGCATTCCGGCTGACGAAGCCGCGACTCTCGCTCTCCCGCGAGACGCCTGCAGAAGAGAGGACAACAACGGGGGAGTTTGCAGAACGTATCGCGATTGATCCCACACTCCACACCCCGCTCCACGAAGGCCTCCCGATGCGGCCGAGCTGCAGCTGCTGAAGTTTTACTCTCAAGAAGTCTTTATATCACTAGTAACGCCGGATGCTACATTCAGGCTTGGGGTGGTTCCGGATGGTTAGTGCGGCTTTCGAAGTTCTTCACCTCCATTGTTGCTGAACATCCGAAGCTTGTGACCTTGTGATGTGCTGCTTGCATCTTTTGGCACGCTTATGCTGCGAAGATAGTGTCGGAGCGACACGAGCCATGCCAGCGATGCAAAACATCGCAAAGTAAAGGCGACGGCAGGGGCGCACCAGAAGCCAGGCTGCCAGAGCTCCGACGGATGCCACGGAGGCAAGCACCAACGCTTCCCCGACGGCCTGGCTTAGCGGCTTAGCGGCTTGGTTTAGCGGTTTGGTCGCCAGGCTGTAAACACGAGCCGAAAGTTCCAAAGGCTCGGCCGCTGCACGCAGTGGGGACCTCACATGTTGTCTTCCCATCCGCCGGCCTGTGAGGAGCATTTGCTGGAAGATCATGATTTCAGATTGCTTTGGACTCTCTGGCTCTGAGGCTCTACACAAAAAACAGAAGACGAGGAGTCGGGAGAGTGGGGTTGGTACGCGGGGACAAAGGTCGGAGGGAGGGGCAGGGTCTCCCATAAAGAATGCGCTCATCGGCACACAGCTGAACAAAATGTGACTGTCAATCCACACCGTCGGCATGCCCTAGACTCAAATCGATCTGCTCGCCAAAGGCATGCAACACAAGTGACAAGAAACACAACCAGATAACACTCAAACAAGGGAATGCAAGCACCTAAGCACGCCATCCATAATTGAGCAATGAACACCTGAGTCTACAGCGCGTTGCTCTGTTTGTGAGAGGAATGCCAAGGCCCCGAGTCCGCCAGCAGTTGCAAATCACAAGGTTTGGTCGCCCGGCCCCTCCGTTGGCAAAACATGGAGCATCGAAGCACCGGTGCTGTTGCGGACTTGCCAAACTGACCAAAACCACCCAAAAACCGCCAAAACCAGGCCGGCACTGCCCCCCCCCGCCGGCCACCAGTGGCCCGCCATCACAAGTCCTGAAGAAAGCTCATCTCAAAGATCGAGCCTGACCAGCCAAAGCCCCTGCTGCAAGTAGCAGGTGCTCTGTGCCCGACCACCTCAAGCCATGCCTCAAGCACACTTCGGGTTTGCAGGACGTGCCCAGATTACCAGGAAACCAACCACCCCAGCGCAGCGGAGGAGCCGCCTCTGGCACTTGCCGGCCTGCAAGAAATCTTCGATGCCGTCGGCCGTCGTGTGTTCATGTGATTTCGGCTTCATCCCGTGAGGGGAGCACTTTTGAACTTGATGGACACTGCGAGTGTAGACAGCAAACAGCATCGCCTGGCGAGTGTTGCGCTCTGCCTGGTCTGCAGAAACTGAGGCTTGCTCAACTTCTGTGCATGAATCCCTGCATCCCTGCATGCCTGCACCGCTGTGAGCGCTGCGGAAGCTCGGTGGCCATGGCCAGAGGCTCCGTCGTTTCGAAGATCTGGAAGGTGCAGGTCGAATCCTGGGCCTTGGTTTCACTTGCGCACTTTGCTTTGCAAGCTTTGCTTGCTTTGGCTTCGTTTGCTGCCCGGGTCGGCTCGAGCCTCGAGCCTCGAGCTGGAGCACGGCGGTTCAAAGCATTTAACTTGTTCTCATGCCAAAGTCCTTGACGAACCCCCCGGATGTGCAGTCCCTTCCTCATCGCAACGAATCCGAAGTAGACTTGGACTGCTTAACAGCCTCTTTGCCAGATGCCAACTGAAATAAGCTGTACTCCGTGCTTCACGCTGACTTTGGCAGCTGAGGCATCGAGTGCAATAGCTTGCTGCGGGACATAATGAGCAAGCGCAAGCTGAATCACTTGCAGTCTCCTGCTCAGTCCAACAAATCCACCAAGTGCTCAATGCACTTTCTGGACATCTGGTGCCTCAAGCTCTACTTGCAAAGGAAGATTTCGTGCGAGTCACTCGCGACAAGCAAATGAACTTTTTTTGCAGCTCGGCATCTCTCTGTCAAACTGCTCAGACCTCTTGCCGATGAGGAAGACGTGCCTTCCGGTGATAATAAGAAAGGAATTACAAGAAAGGCCTTGGTCTTGTGAGTTCTCTGTGCTTCCGAAGTACATGTTGCGCGGCATCGGGCGATGATGCGCATTGGCTACTACACGGCGCCATGGCACGGAAAGAAGTCCTTCGTAGACCTCCTTAGCAACGGCCAAGGTACAGCTTGTTTCTGCTGGGTTCGATGAAACCTTCAAATTGTGGCCAGTCGCTGCCGGATACTTGCATTTCAAGTCCTGCAGTCGAAGCATGCCGTGAGAGTATCCGCAGCACCATGGGCCCTTAGGCATAGGACGCATACACGGACTACGATAAGCTCTCCTGCGACAGCTCCCAGGACATCGCGGAGCGGATGCTCCGACTGGCTTTAGGACTGTCGGTCGGCGAGGAGTCCGGGGACAGATGCGCTTGGCTTGGCGATCTCCTGTGACAGGGCTTGCATCCGCAAAACCCCAGCTATAGCACAAACGAATGTCCTGGATGAGGGCATTGCCGTGATCCCGCAAAGACCCAGAAAAGCCAGAGTCAGGCGACAGAAGCCATGCACAAAAAGGTGTACGAGCGAGAGCAGCAGGGCCGGAAACTTCCAGAAACCAGCAGCAGCCTGGCACGGTGCCCAGTATTGAAAGAGCTTTGGCCATTGCGGGGTCGGGGAAGCCTCCAATGAGCTGACTTCTGGGGTGCATTGCAGGGATTGTAGGGGTGGGCAGTGCACCAGTTTTAAGCTGCATCGTAAGGGTAAATGCTCGACAATTCCAACTCATGCGACATAGCTGTCCCGAGACACTCGTCCTGCCCCGACAAAGCAGGAAGTCTTCTCTCTCCTACCGGACTCCTACCTCTCAGTGCTGTTCCGTGTGTTTGCAGCCGGGCCAATGACAGTAGCTAATGGCCAAAGCTCCCACCTTGCCATGCTGCCCGACGGCTTTGTTGGCCGCCGGCCAGGACTCATCAAAAGTAAGATGCCAGAACGACTCGTGGAAGGAGCTATGGCCTTCCATTAGCAGGTTCGGATCGATCAATCCCGATGCAGCTGGGATAAGAGGGTCACCGAAGGCCAGGCTCACACAGGTTCGGTGTTTGAATTTGCCAAGTGAGGTCATGTGGTCGCTCTCCGGCTCACTCAATTCCAGTAGAAAAGGAGTGTGCAGTCGTCCTGCGGGTCCTGCGGTGTCCTGGATGGCCAGGTTTGCAAGCTGGTTCGTAAGTGGCCTCGAAAGCCAGCAAAGATTTCTCCATGAGTGCAACGGGTGTAGCCAACTCGACTGGATGCCCAAATGTGGAGACGAGAGCGACACATAGTGACCTAGCTCTACCCCGTTGCACTCCTCAAGCACTTTGGGAAGAGCTCCTCGAATGATTAGTCCACCCATCGAGTGTCCGACGCAGTGCAAGGTTGTTTGCGCGTTCACCTTTTCGTTTGACCGGATAACTCCAATTATTTCTTCCGCTGCTATCGACGAGAGTTCCCGCAAGTCATCCCCAAGAAATCTGCAGCCGCGGGTAATCGTCTGCAAAGGCCACAAAGTCCAGTCCGGATACTTGTGCTTCAGAACATCCATCCATGTTTGCCAGTCTGCGCAAGTGCCTCCCATGCCATGCACCATGACACATGTCGCGACGCATGTGTGGCCATCTCGGCCATCATTATTCTTCGGAGCATCACTCTGCATGGCTGCTCTAACTCTAACGACTCTAACCATTCGAGCCGAAGTTGGAGTGACTTGGGTGGCGGAGACAAAGCGCCTCAAACTTGGACCATCAATCATCAAGTTGCTGTCTTTTTAACGCTCACATCGCATGCCTTCATTAACCTCTCGCAAGATCAGCGCTTCAACAGCCTGAAGCCGTAAGCGAAAAGAGAAGGTTTGCGAGCTTGCCATGCACAGGCTGCGTGTTTGCCTGAGACTCGCGCTACTACTGTCGCATTACGAAGCGCGTTTGCGGCGCGCCGCCGAAATTCATGGGCTGCGTCATCGCAGGCCTGACATGTTTGTCTGAGTCTGGCCGTCAGAGCCGGCAGTGCACAGCTTGAGTACGTGCCAGGGTGGACGCACGTGCACCAGACATCTGAGGGATTTGAGGCCGCGTCATCATACCTGCAACTGGGAGTGGCTTAATTTAGCGGCTTGATTACCCCCCAAAGACATCACTTGTTGGAGATTTCTCGCACCAATGAATATAGGTTCGGCATGACGCTTGTGTGATCTTGCGTGTTCAGGGCAGTCGACACCGCATGCCTCTGCCTGCATTAGCCGGCCACTGCGGCTGTGTTGGCATAGGCATGCGATGCATCCTAAGTCGGAGGACTGAAGTTGAGGATTGAAACTTGCCACGTGTGCTGCATGTCTGCTTTCAGGCAACGCATGAAAGTGCATACTGTTGCAACTAATCTCGGCGGCTGAGTCAGCTAATGCATAGAACTCACATCACATTGCTTTGCTGTCCAGATGGCATCAGTTGCATCGATATCAACCAAAAACGCGCAGACCGAGACCGGTGCTGCGTCGGCGCAGGCTCAGGTGTCCTGCCAACCACTGAGTCTGGAGCCTTCGACTGCATCTGAAGCGACCCACCCTGGGCCCTGGCCTGTACAAAGGCTGCCGGTCCTGGAATGCTACCCCAGTTCGTGCTCAGTGGCTTTGGCTTGGAAAGTGTATCGTGCAGTCCTCGTCGGTTTCTTCACTGCGATGAAACACTTCCTTCCAACAGTGCATTGAACACCATTTCTCATGCTGATTCTTGCTGACTGAGAACTTGAGGCTCTGAATCCTTGCTCCGTGCACGGCCCTTGGCACGTGCCTTAAACAGTGGGCTGACAAAGATATCAAGCGGTCTCTCAGCAGGCTTGTTCTGCGCACAGCACTTGTGAAATCTAAGCCTCATGCGCCACCGGAGCACAGCAAGCAAAGCAATGCCAGAAGGCCTGGGTTTGCTCAGCTAACAAGGAGGCCGGGCTAGTGGTCCGTCCTCGCAGGCAAAAGGCCTCTGCTACACGGGATGTTGAGATGCGAGTGTTCGTGCCCCCCTCTTGCATCTAACATTCTGGGGGCTCGCCATAGTTGTATATAGTTGCAGCATGTTGCAGCTTCGCAGGTGACCGGGGCGCGGCGAAGTCAGCGTGCGTCTGGCCGGGTGTCTGCGCGTTGTGCAAAGCCCATTGTCTTTGTTCATGTAGAGCCGGTCGTCATGTAGGTCCGGTCGCATATGTTCGCTGCAACGTCGAAAGTGTCGATGCAGGCTCTAACATGCTCTCAGATTTGCTACACACAGCGCGACACGGTATGCAAAGCTTCATCCAGTTAACAACAGGATGTAGGAGATTTCTATGTCGATTCTGGACACAAAGTCAAATTCAACCTGATTGACCTTTGAAGCGGCAAAGCCTTGCATTTCATGCAGCGGACATAGCTCGTCAGGCGCAGCGCCCTTATGTTGTTGCAGGGGTATGCTGTCTTGCGTACCTGCTGAGAATCCGGGACGAAGCTTAGCAAAGGCCCAGGTCGAGAAATCGGCAGCCTTGGGGACTCCGCGCTTCCGCGCTGACTTCTGCGACTAGGGGAAGACTTTCAAGCCCACGCACGCCCACGCTAGAACGACCGTTTCCCATTCTGAAAAGCACGAGCTGCAGCTCGTCATGTTGTCCGCTTCTGAATGCGCAAACTTGGGTACTGGGTACAGTCAGTCGAGCCACGTCCAAGAGCAAACCCTGTTTCAGACGCAAAGTCTCTGTTTAGGCGGCTTAAGTCTCCAGATTCGGTCTCAGACAGCCTTGGCCTTGACGCCTTCTTGTCCAGGATTGTCTCGAAACGTCAATGGTGGTCCGGCATGAAGCTTCCGCAAAAACAACAAAGGACGGGATTAATCTTGGACCGAACCGAGCAACTTTCGGAGCTTCTCTCTTCGCCGAATCTGCGGACCTTCTGCCGATGCGCCCCGCTGCTTGTGAACACGCCCGATGCAGCTCCGTGCCAGCCATGCACATGTAAACCAGAGACATTCCAGCTTGCAGTCTACCGCGTCGAATCCCAATTTGCGGAGACTCAAGTTAAGTAATGTCCACTTTTGATTAGTAGATGGGTCGGGACAAGCAAAAGAAAATTTTCGGCCAACTGCAAACCTGCAATCTGCCCGAAATACCCAGACAAGCACATGGGGTGGTAATAGTGAGGCGCGTTTTATGCGACGTCGTATGTCTCGACTGAGTCTACTGCTATTGCAACTGCCACTGCTCGTCCTCCCCGCTCGGGGAGCAGGGATGGGAAGCATCCCCAGAAAGAACTGAGCACAAACTGGACTGTTGGGTACCCTCGTCGTCATCTCGTCGAACCCGGAAAACCGCACCACTCTCTGTGGCTGCACGGAGGCAACCGGGGCCACCACCGACCGAAACCGACAGGAGCAGCAGGCCGATTCCAAAGAAACCCTGAGCACTGCTCTGCAACTGACTGAGCGTATCAAAGTCACCGAGCACAAATCAGCGGCCGACCCAGAAGTGGCCACTAGTCAAGTCGAAGGACATCCTAAGCAGAACTGCACAGCATGTGAACATTTTTATCTTATGTTTAGGCCGTCTGAACCGGTTGGGCTGGGTCTGCGGCTGACTTGGTGGGTTCGACATCGGAAAGAATGCAACCTGTGCAACGAAGGCTGTTGAAGAGAATGGATTTCGAAACCATCTTGACAAAGCAAGAGCCTGCCGCACCCCCTGAGGCTGCGGAAGCCTGAGCAACAGATATTTACGGAGGCTACACGTGCCAATGCCTGAGTTCGCAGCCGAGTGTTCATGCCCAAATCAGTGTTCCACGGCTGCACGACGCCTTTCCAACACACACACACACACACACACACACACACACACGCACACACACACACACACACATCAGCAGCTACGGTTGCGAATCGGCATGGGCAAAATCATTCGTCTACTCTGGCACAACGGATGTCTCCCACATGTTCTGCCTGATGGAGCAGATCCGAAGCGCAGGAAGCCGGTCGGGGCGCTCAGATTCAGTGCCTGCAGAGCCACGAAAGCCGCACAAAAGTCCCAACAGCCACCTGCATCACTTTGTGGATGACGGCAGTCAGGGCACAGCCCTGTAAAGGTCGCGTTGAGCCCTGCTGATCATCAGCGGCTGCTTGAAGACCATCCAGATGGTGTCAGTCCTTCAAGCTTTCTGAAACCCCCGCGACCGCGACTCGCTTCGCGGAGTCCCAGTCCCGCAAGGAGGGACCGTGGAGCTGCCGTTGAATGCATAAAGCGACCGGTCACCTGACTGCTGACCCTGCATCCCTGCATCGAAGGACATCCAGGCAGCGCAGGGCTTGAAAACAGGGGTAAGCAGTGCGGCACCTGGAAGCGCATAGAAGGGGTTCGCGATCTCAGCCTGCACCCTGAGCGCGCCAATGGTAATGCAAAAGCCTGCCTGGTTCTGGACGTCGACTGAGCACTGAGCCCATCTTCGCTGACTGTAGATGGAAACTGTGGCCAGAACCTCAGCGGCGCAATGAAACACTACTTTCCTGCCCATCTGCCATGTCAGGGCCGCACGTGTTCAGATACTCGTTGCCCTCCACAAGTCCAACCTGACAACAGTCATCAAGGACCCCGCATATGTTTGTTTGCACACTGCCAGCGCACACGTTACATAGGCATAGATCATAGCAACGACCCATTTTAATCACGAGGCGAATCAGTAGAAGGCTGGCAGTGGCTGGCAGCTCGACAGGCTGTTCCCCCTCTCCGTAGTGTGGCCACGTGGGGGTGAGGGCTGCGTTCCTGCGAACCACGATGGTGGGAAGCTGACTCCGGACGGTGCTACATTATCGGTGCGGGCGTCCTGGTGAACTGCACGCTAGCAAACACGAAGGTTGAAGTTAAGAAATTCGGTGCCCCCACTGCAAAGATCGGCATGGTGTGCGATCTTTCAGAGTGGTGAAGGCGTACGCGTGCATTGGCTCGGCGCTTGGCGTTCTCTCTGAGTCGCTGCCTCGTGGCAGAGTACTTTGGAGGTGAAAAGGCGCAGTTTGGTGGCGGTCGCGGTCGTGGTCTCCTCGGCCTGATGCTTTGTGGGTTTTGGTTGTGCAGGAGCTTGGCATGGTGCCTCGCAGCTGGGCTGACCTTATCCTACAATGGCGCAGATCCGGCGCAGGTCTGCACGTCTCCGGGGGGGAGAAGGGGCGAAGAAAATTGGGTGGGACTGCCTACAGAAAGCCAAAATCCACTGGAGAAGGCGAAAATTCACTGCCGTACCTTGGGGCTCATCGACACGTTTCCATTTTTTAGGGGGGCGGGGGGCGGTGGCCTCTACAAAGCTTCTTGAAATTGACAATCAGCGGGCGCAAACCGAACCATCATCTCAATAGAGGTCATCACGGCCATCCGAAAGGTCAAGATGACGACAAGAGCCATCATGGTGGTAGGCAGAGGCGGCTGCAATGAACAAGAAGACGAGCAATAAGATGGCGATTATGATGAATGCTGAAAAATGGATGATATGGATCATGTATGATTCTGTGTGATGAAAGTATGATTGAAAGACAAGAACGATTGCGATTCCACTTGGTCCACATGCGGACGGTTCGCGTGCCAGCATGATGCAAACAGTCGAAACATCTCGAATGCTGGCTTCCTGGGTTCAGGGAAGCACGACGAACACGGAGGGTGCGACGCCGCCCTACGACACCCTTTGGCCCTGTGACAATTGCACGGCTATATACATGGGTAAGCATGAGGCACAGCGCAGGGCGCAACGCTGTGCGAGGCAAAGCGCTCTGTGCGTGGGACGGCGGGGGTATGGCCCGTCACGGCCCGCTTGTCATGCAATGCTCTGCCGACTTCCAACTATAAGTCTGTGACACTGGTTCGTTGCGGGCAACTGAGCTTCTTTGTCAACTGACGATTTCAACTTGGTTTGGTTTTTACAGCGCGGGGGCACGGCAAAGCGGCGGCCCGCAGCGACAATGCCATGCACATCGGCGAGGTTGCAAGACTTTGTTCGAATAGCCAGCTGGAAATGCAGCAAGAGAGAATTGAGCCTTTTGCTGATGTTGAGTTTCCGGATGCACCATGTCTCCCTCCCAAAACCCGCATGTCAGTTGAAGCCTGTGGTCTGTCGCCCTTCACTCTCTCGTGCAACCGTCGGTATCCATGCAGTTGCAGTCTCAGTTGCACTAGCTGAGGCTAAATCTTGCTATGAGCCGCGGTTTCTCAGACGAGTCTCCAGCATGAGCGCACCACGCTGTTGACACATACTTCTCCAGTTTCGATCGTCCCAGGCAGGCATTGCAGGATTCACTTGCGATGCTTAGGCGCACCTTCAGAAACACAGAAGTGACAAGGAGTTGGCCATCTGCAGCCTCATCACAGAAAGGAACCCAGATTCAGTGTGCAACTGCTGAGGTGCGGTCAATCGAACTTGGGCCCATGCTGCGTTGTGCACAAGCTGCATCTCCATGTCGAAACCTTTCAGGAAAGTTGAACCAATGAAGAATGAACAGCTGCTGTCCAATAACTTGAGCATGAGCTGATGACTTTCCCCATCCAGACTGTTCTCGGAGGGGGACGTGAATTCAATTCTGCGCCTCGGGCTTCAGAAGGTTCTCGACGGAGCATCGACAAAGGCCGAATAAGACGCCGGCAAGTAGAATTGCTTCCCATTAATAAAGGTAAGGATTGTGGTGGTGTCATACGGTGACTGGAGCAAGACCTGCTGACGCAGCTGTCGCGAAACGGTAGCTGGCTGGAAAGCATTGGCCTGCCACCCTCGGGGGGTCGTGCCCAGAAGTACATTCACCAAAGGCCTGCACTGCAGCTTGAGCTTGCATATGTAGGTGCAGGCTTTTTGCAGGCAGCACCAGGAGTAATTCCAGACCAGCCCGCCCAAGATGGATGCATGTCCACCTGATTTCGTGTCGACACATCCAGAAGCATGGGCGGCATGGGAGGGAGATGTATAGGCGGGCAAAAGGCGCGTCTGCAGGCGCACAGCTTGCCCGGGAACTGCTGCAGCTTCAGCCTTAGCCGACATGTTCAGAGCGCCACTCTCACAGTCTACATGTGTGCTTTCTGCTTTTGCGAATGCTTTACCAACCTTTTTCGGTAGCAATTGCACAGATGTCGAAGCAGAACGGCAGAAGTCGCCGCTTGAGAGGCACTTCTGCAATTCCTCCAAGACCGGGCTCAGCTGCTTCTCAAAAGCAGCAGGTGGGTTCACGACAAGCACGGAAGACCTGGCAAAATGCATGCAGGCAACAAGTAGCAACAAGCCTCAAGCAAAGACATCCCAAGCTTTAGCACTCATTGCCTTGACTCGGCGAGATTTCCAGCAGAGGCTTCAGTGAGTGTCTTGACATCTGCTGCAAGTATATCACCCACTTGCAGATTGACCAGACGCTGTTGAAAGCGAGTCCTTGCTGCCACGAGTGCAGAATCAAGGCATCATCTAGCTGGGGCCGCAGAAAATCTGCCAAGCTCCATGCAGATGCGCACGGGCACACAGACAGATACACATATACAATCATATACACACAGCAACAAACGGATAAGCATACGCGAAGCAGAGGGGAGACAGAGGGAGGCAATGAACGCAATCATAGAAAACTGCATGGACAAATGCGCGTGGGTGGCTGGGTGGCTAGCTGGCCGGGTGTTTGGGCAAACACACAGTCTTCTTTCCACTCTGCCGAATGAAGACAGGAACCCCTGCCCGCTCGCCCAAGCACAAAAGCCAGCATGGAAGGCGCCTCAGCCGATCCAGCACTGCGAAACGTGCCCGTCAGCCGACCAACACCAACAGCCCCCAGCCCCTGACAAATCGAAAGCATGGTTGGAAAGACTAAACGCTTCGGTCAAAACTTTCGCTCAAAAGACTTCAGTCAAAACTTATCGGCACCCAATCCCTGAAACAGTTTCCATAAACCGTAAACCCCAAGCCCTCAAGCACGAAATAATTGGAACTTCCGTCTTGGTTCACCTTGAACCCCCTAAACCGTCAATTTCAGCCGCCACCCCCAGCTCCGAAAAAATGGAAAGCAAGGTGCAAAAGCCAGAACACCAACCCAGCCCAGCCCAGCCTAGTCCACCAGCACCAGCCGAGCCACCGGCCCGCAGCCCAGCCCAGCCCAGCCCCCGACACGAAAAATGGAACGCAAAGGTTTCTTCTGTCCAAAAACGGAGCGAAAGCAGGAACAACGAACAGCAGGATTCTCTCTGTCTCTCGCTGGCTCCAACTATGACCCCTCGGCACAGAGAACAGAACCCTTCTATGCAAGCTTGTATACCAAAATATGCGGTTCTTATGCCCTTGCGACGTAAGGGACGACTCTTTCTTTCGCCAGGGTAAGGGACGACTCTCTCTCTCTCTGTCTCCCTCTCGATCCTGATCTGCATGTCTCCCATGAGCTCCCATGTGCATATCACACCACAAAGCTGATCCACTGCTCGCTATTGATGCCTCTGTGCAACCTCACCAAGACAGTCCAAGATTCATCTCTTGGTCGGCGATGTGGGGACACCACAACAAGATGCAACTGGAGGGCCATCTCATTGTCAGGTGTTTCAGGAGAAACAAATTCCATTTGTCGGACGAGCTTGCGGAATCGTAAGGTGGGTCGACTAGAGCAAGCACTCTCGAAGATGAGGTTCCAGGGACTTCACGACACCTGGCGAACCATTCATAGGAGTTCGCACAGACAACTGTCGTTGACAAAGCAGAGCCGGCATCCTGCTTTAGCTTGAGCAGGCTGGCTTGGAGGACTTCGCACACTTCCCTGGATGCTTCAAAAACCAGTGCGGAATCCTGAGGCCGCAAGAAATGTTGTGCGATAGCCGGTGAACCAGGGTAGTAGCGAAGCGATTCTGCTCCAAGTGCGACATTCGCCCGTCGAACAGCACTAAAGAAGCCATGCATGGTGCGCAGAGTGGTTGCCTGTTCAGAAGTGGCTAAGTTCTGAATGCCGCTGCGGTAGTTTTCAAACCGCATCGCTTCATGCGAGCTCAAGTCGTACAAGCCCGACCCAGCATGTGTGTCAACATACAGAAACGGCTCCGCTTCCTGCACTGCGTGCTCGAGCAAGGCGCAGAGGATCAGATGTTTCAGGCAGTCTGCAGGTGCTCCAGCTTGGTAGTAGTGGACGTAATCAATGTCTTCACGTTTCCACTCGTCGTAGCCGCCATCAATGACCCTGTGCAGCAGAAAGTGTGTCATCTCCCATTGCCCCGAGTGCTCGCACGCACCAAGCACGGAAGTATAGGTGATGGCCTTAGACCATGAATTGAGGGACTTGCTTTATTCGAATGAACCTGCAGCCTTCAGGAACACGTGCAACATTCCAGGAGCTTTCCAGGACATCACTCAGGGGACGACATCAACCTGGACTCTGTCATCGTGCATTCTTCTGAGGATGTCTATCGCAACGACCCACTGGCTGCTCTTGTCGCATGCATTCAATGCGGCATTGAACGAAATCGTGTCGGGGATGAAAGACGATTTTGCCTTACCAGAGGACAGTTGCCACCAAGAGATGAACAATCCTAGATCTACATGCAGCACACACAATCGACAATGCCGTGTCGGATGACACATGAAGTGCTCTAAGTTTGGCAACGTCGCTGAGTCGTCGAGTAAAGAAACTGCTATCCTCCATGCGAGACCTTTCCCACAGGCACTGATGACTCCGTTGTAGCTGGCGGTATTTCTGAGATATTCGCGGGACGTTCGACGCACGGTGAAAAGCAAGCTCAACGCATGCTGCCACATCGACGACTTTTCACATGCACTGATGGCAGCCTGAACAGCGGGTTTTAACTACAAAAGGATAAATGCGACACATCTAGAAAGAGAGGCTTGAAACTCAACGAGAGTTGCCACAGCTCGACAAGCTGCATTCACACTGACCACGTCGATCTGTAGCTTGCTCTGAGCATGCTCATGAAATAGGTTCAAGGCACTTGCCCATTCAAGACTGCTCCCAACAGTGCTGGCAATCGATGTGTAGCTTCTGGAGTCGCGTGGAACTCCTTAAGCTCATTCTTGGGTAAAATACAAAGCGCAGCAGAATTAGCAGCACTGGACAAGTGCGACATCCCTCCCAGCAATCAGCAAGGCTGGGCATGAGCATATACAAGCTCCGTCCGAGTTATATTCTGTTTGCTTCCACATCATCTGCTTCGGGTTTTCGCGAAAGTGGTCATAAGCTGGTGATGATGCGAAGTCTTGGGCGGCACGCCCGTGATCAGAAATCTACCCGTGCTCTACTACAGTCAGGTGCACATTGTGCGCCGGCAAGCGAGGACGCCCTGCGCATCCCTTCGCCAAGCCTGGCGAACACTGCATGCCTGGTCAGCAAAAGCCGTGACTCTTCCCAGACGAGATGGAACCATAAGATGGCAGAACCAGAGCTGAAGCAGGAGGGGTTGAATCCCTGGATTGTAGCTTCCGCACGAATTCCTCAGACTACATCCCGTCTTTGCGGACGCGCAGCAAAGATTTTGTGCACCCCACAACCCAAGCTGGAAAGCGGTGATGCCGGGCACAGTCGACATGGAGGTTGTCAGGGCGCAACATGTTACGATGCTCGTGGACTTTGCAAGTGAAACAAGTCGAGCCCCAAGTTGCAAGTTGCGTGTGTGCATGTATGACCGGGTCCGAGCCCCGACAACAGAGAACCTTGGTGAAACTGCCCTTCCCCTCACCACTTCTTCAAAACCATGCCCTCATTTTTCGACACGGCACTTGTGGCTTCAGGACCGTGCATGCCGGTCTCTGTTCGCCACTGCATGCTTTGGAACGAACTGATCTGCTCTACCTGCTGCTGCAGCTCTTCCAGCACAATGCGATAAATTCAGCGAAGCTGCGCAGAGTGTCCATGGTACTGAAGCTTTGTATAGATTTTGGCCACGATGCAGTGCTGAGAGCGTTGATCACAGCATTGAACGTGTTACTGAGGAGAACCGTACGGCGAGGAACCTGGGTCAGAGTCGCTAATGATGTTGTCCACTCGTTGGCCTTGCCACACCCCGTGATAGTTGGATTCCAGGTCCACGAAGAGCTCGAAATACCATGTTGGGACATCTCTTCAAGAAAGCGCACTTGCTCTTTCCAGAGCCCTTTCTTGGAGCAGCTGGCCAGGACGGAGCCAAACATGATCGTGTTGGCCTCCACTTGCACCTCATGGGCCAGGCTTCACAGCTCGAAGGCAAGAATTCAACTTCGATCCCTACTACCAGTTCATTCTTTCGCAGTCAGTTCGATGCACCTGTCGCACCCCGCGCATCGTTGCAACTGCAAGCATCCATTGCTGGGACTTGGAGAATGCAGACATCATCGTCATAGCTGCAAAGGAGGTTTCTGAGTAGCTTCTGCCGCCTCGAGATGCATCCATGGCAAGCTGCCAAGAAGTTCGCCCATCGATTGTAGCAGTGGCTGATTGTGCAGATCCGGAACGCAAGCTGCCGCAGCACATGTTGTGAAGATGTGAAGTCGCCTCAGCATGGCCCACGCTATAGCTGCAATGAGCTACAACCTCTGCAGTCCTACGTTGTTGGGGAGCACAAGAACGTCTTCAATTTCCTGCCTGAAGTCGCCAGCCGAGGAGAGCGAAGTGGGGTCTGAAGCGCGTGCATCATTGTGCTCAGGCGAGGCCAGAGCCGAAACTTCTTAGCAACAGCATCATGTTCATAGCCACACAAGCTTCGCGGTTGAGAGAATCAGCGCTGGCAGCTTTTCCAACACGCTGACACGGATCGACTTGCGACGTTGTACAAGCTAGCAGCTAGCACTCAGCAATTGTACAAGCCTGGGTTCCTTCATGTTCTGCAGTGACTCGACAGGTCTGTATGGTTTGTATGCGATGTGCAAGAGCTTTCGAATCAAGGTGTAACGTCAAGGCTGGATCCTCTTGCATCTGGAAGAACTCAACTAGTCACTCAGAGCTTGGTGAAGCTTCCTTCTTCGAGGCCCCACTCCTGATTTGACTCATGCAGTAATTTTCTGACAAGAATGATCCCTGCACCACCAGCAAACATGTTGTTCGTTCCGTGCGAAGGCGAGCCTTATACATAAAGGCATCGCCACGCCCAATGCTCCACAGCATGTCATCCCAGACAGGAATATGACCTGCATGGGAAACAGGTGACAACCCTTTTCATTCACCGCCTGAACTTCCTGCTGAAAGCCGATTGCATCCAAGTGGCAGTTTCTTACTGTGATGATGCCGCCCCGGGCAACGAGAAACTGGGCAGCCTTGCCACATCCTCCGTGCATGGCACCTTGGAAGCACAGGTTGTAACTATGAGGCCGACTGGGTAACACATTATGCAACGATGTAAGACGATGACAGTCTACTGCGTTGTAATTCCACAGGACCGGGTTGATCTCGTTGACGTCCTCCCAGCGCCCACGGATTGCTGCAGCATGTCGAATGTTTATCTGATTCAAGACTCACGGTCGAGGGAACCTCGCTCCAGGAGAACCACAACTCATCGGCAGCACGACAATTCCCCGAACTGAAACTTGGCACCCTTGTGACAGAGGCTGCATGCAAGCCGCCATACTCGAATAGCATCTCTGGGGATTGCGACATGCATGCGGGTCTGTCGAGGAACCGATGCGGCGAGAACAGTGACAAGATGATAGCATGGCAAGTTTCGTAGACAGCACCTCATCAAATTGCAGAGTGTCACAGCTACGAGCATTGCCTATCTGAATCTCTCTTTTCGCAGCCAACCATGTTGGGCTGGGCGACGCTGTGATACGTGCCCGCAAACAGGATGCAGGTCTCCGGGCATACAAGCAGCAGCAAAACAAGCTCCTGGCCGTTCTGGAGGTATTCGTCAATACGCTCGATGTCGCCAGAGAAGCAAGCACCCCACCACGTGTAGTTGGAACCCATGCTCCTGCATAAAGCATTATTGCCAAATTACTGCATGCCTGGTTACAGGCGGGGCTCCTCAGGTAATCAGCGATCTCTACCTGCAAACAGGTTGCTGTCATGCAGCTCGGGCGACGTCTTTGAAAAGGCCTCTTCGTTCGGCCAACGGAATTGCTCCTGTCACGGCTTGGCCGGGCAATACTGAGAACGACCGTTACCCTTTCACACTTGAAGCTGCAAATATCATGAGATACTGCATCTGGAATAGTCATGCGGGATGGCGACTGAGCAGAACAGAGACTTGCTGACATTCGACTGGAGTCGCTGTCGAAGGGGAGTGATTACCGACGTACCGACAGAAAATTATGCATTTCAAGCGATGGTGCCACCGGCGAGCATGCCAATCAATCCATGGTTGGAAAAGACGCCGCACATCGTATCTTCAGGCACCCTTGACCGATCACTACTCGATCATATGATGGAGCATCCAGGTGCCACCGCAGGCCGTGCTCGCCGAGCGCACACACACACACACACACACACACACACACACTCACTCACTCACTCACTCACTCACAGACACACACACACACACACACACACACTTGACACATCGTGTCGCAGGTCTGATCTGTCGGTGCATACTGTCAGGGAAAGTCAGCAGCTGTCAGGGAAAGTCAGAGGCTGCACGGGAAAGTCAGAACATGCAATCAGAAGCATTACCATAGGATACACGCGAATCACTCATGAAACTGCACATGAAACTGCACATGAAACTGCACTGCACTCCTACCCGCAATCAACAGTTATGTAGTCGCAAGCTGCACAAATGTGCCCATGCCGACCACTGCAGGTACGTTTACCTGTCTCAATATCACGGAGCTTCGTTGGCAGAGGCCGTGAAATGAGACCCTCTGCCCCCTGCTGCTTAACTCACTCACATCTCTTGGAAACAGAGTTGGACACACACAAGCCCCGAGGGGCTCCTTGCAATGTTGACGGTCGTTGCGCGCTGTTTTATCTCACCGATTTTTCTATGGGAAAGTCTTGTGCTCAAGAGATCTAGGAAAGTGGGCTACGAAACTTCAGGAAACGCAGTCTGTGCACTAAGTGCAATTCGACTTCGGCTTCTTCCGCATCAGCATCAAAGTACATGCAACACTGAGTTGCAGTTTGGTACGCAGCATTGGCCAATGTCACGATACTCACTCGCAAACGCTCCTGTACTAGCTCTACCACAGCTCTCATCCATCTTTTTGACGGGCTGCCCAACATGGTGCAAGCCACGGCATTGATTTGGACAAAACGGATGGTGGTATGCAAAGACTGAAAGCCCATGGTCAACTCAACCGAGGAGGACAGCCGAAATTCCTGTATCCCACGTTGCAGGAACGTGTACGCCACCATGGTGTCGGTTATGGGTTGTGCCTCTTCTGGGTCATCATTTCGATCGAGGCGAGTAATGAATGTAATTCTGGCTCTGATCGGCAACACGTACATCAAGATGTTCTCGAGCACGTCAGAAGCGGTCCAATCCATGTTGTTCAGAATCTACACAACTTTCAGAGTGCTTGATACAAAACTGTGTTACATGTCTGATGAAATCAGCTCCCAACACCGCAGCACTTGCACATCTCTGACATGTCACTCTGCACATTTCTTGCACTGCACTTGCACGAACCTCGCACGTCCCTTGCACATCACTTGCAATCCGCTTGCACATCCCTTGCTCGTCACTTCTCTTGACATGACACAGAGGTGGACTCTTTTTATACCGTCACAACGAAATCGACCGGTTCAAGGGTTTGGGCAGTCGTTACAGGTTCAGTAAACCGAAGATGGCGAAAGTTTTGTACAAGCTGAAAGGTGTGTAACCTAGGCCACCAGCCGAACTTCTCCCAGAGCTGCATCGCGACGAGGTATTTGGCAACGTTGATGGAATCGTTGATTGATAGCTGGATGTGGAGAGTAATAGTCTCGTGTCCGGTTGCCCGACTGCAGACACGAACCCACATCCGAAAAATGTAGTCGCGGCTCGTACTCCAAGGCAGATTGGCTTCACGGGCCTTGCGCTTCATGTTGGGCAACCTACACAATTTCACTGGATGCCAAATGCTGCAACTCAAGACGGTTCATGCAGAAAGCTGATAATGCACAGCACGGCAGACGCGCACTCTTCAGTTTCTTTCACTGTCTTCGTGCGGTCTCTCACTTTCGGTCTAGAACGTACTGCACAAGTTTCAAAGTGGACGAAAAACGCTTCCTAGGGCCTTGCTTTTCTTTGGCAATGCGTTCTCCATGCTGTCTCAAGAAATCGAGAATGAACTGAGCTATGTTGTGAATGAAGAAATCGTCACCAAGCACTCTCGTGCCTTCCATTCTGCGGCGAAATTGGGTACTGGGTGCAGGACGAATCTTGATGCGCACACCATCAGACCCTTCATCAATCATACGAAGTTTGCGTTTCCGCGGTGGGTCCGTCTGCAACATGTTGGTGTGCTCTGCAGCAGGCTGCTTCGGCTTTGGGACATTAACTAATCGACCAGAGGACATAGACGTAGACTGTCGGTCAATGGATGATGACGCATTGACACTCTCATGATCAAGAGCAAAATCAGCTGAATCAGGATCGCTGACCAAAGGAGCATCTGATGCCACATCTGCACGTCGATCATGTTCTTGGTCCGATACTGCAAGGTCTGACGAAAAGTCGGAAGAGTGCACGTCCGATACAGAGGCAACATCGCTCTCGAAACTGGACACCGACATGATGGAAAGCTACTTATACGTTCCGAATCTGTCTTGCACTGCAGAGTACCTTGAGGACGTGAAGCAAGACAATGTCTGCAAACGCTCACAACACATGGTGCCGGCAGATCGCTTGTATCACCCTTGCACATCACTTGCACATCACTTGCACGTCCCTTGCACATCCCTTGCAACACCCTTGCAGTGACACTGGCGCACAGACCCTTCTTTGCAACTGCTCACGTTTCACTCTGAGACTTCAATCTCTGCTGGGAGCGTTGGGGGCAACTCTGTTGATTCTTGTAGCTGAAGAGAATTAACACAATGGGAAGTCACAGATTGAAGAGAATGCAAATCCGTCAGCAAGTTGCCCACCACTTCGTTGGTCTTCTGAAGTTTCTGAAACAGTTCTGTGATGGCAGACATGACTTCTGCCACCTGAGTCTCAGTGTCCCTGATTTGTGTGGTGAGCACGTCGAGTTGGGCTTGTTGGATCTTTTGGACGGAGATAGCTTCTTCGCGAAAGTGACGGAATTCACCTCTGATTGTGATCAGCTCCTGTTGTGTGTAGGAAATCCAGCGTTGAAGAGGTGCCAACGGGTCACACGCTGAGTTGCTCGACATTAGTGCAATGGGACGACACTTGAGCAGGGTGCTGCAACACTGTTCTGGTATGCAATACAACATGAATGAAGTGATACTCACAGCACTTGCATCCAATGCACATTCTTTCCTCACTGCAGCACTCTCATGCGTCACAGATACAAGCGAAACCCTGTCACTCCGGACATACTTAGCTGAGATCAGACGATTGACTGCGTCGAAATCGGCGTGATTCACGCCTT